ACTCAGGTTCAGCTTCCTCAGTCCCAAAGAAAGGATGTGGGCTCTCCTTGGACCTGACTTGAGTGGCCTAACCAAGCCTCATGCACAGCTGCCCACCAGGCCTGTCTGTAAGGGAGCTCTTGGGCACCATTGTCATGGCCTTTGGGGAGGGCAGGGAAGTTTTCCTCCCCGGGCCCCATGTGATCCCATTGTGAGCACCACAAGCTCAGCAAGCCCCTCACTAGATTAGGCCTGGTGGCCCGCCCACTGGTTCTGCCAGTAACCTTGAACATGACTGTGCAAATGGTTGCAAGGACCAGGGAGAAAAGGCATAAGGAGGGGAGGGGCAGACTTGTTCCAAGTGGCTCCACGGGGCACCAGGTCCCTTCCCCACTGATCCCCAGCTTAGATATCTGCAAATCGGGCCTATCAGCGCCTGCCTCCTGAGGCTGTCGACAGGGTAAATGAGGCATCCCTGTAACTCCTGTTTAGAGCCCTGCCCAGCCCCGTAAATTACTACTATTCTTGCTGCCAGGGCTTTCACTGAAAGGTAGATTTTTCTTCATGCCTTACCTGGAGCGTGGAGAGCCCTGCTCCTAACAGTGTCAGATGTGCTGGCTGGCTGCTGTCACCAGTGTTTTTCCTACTCTTTAAGTCAGCTTTGGTGAATACAACAGAATAATACAAAATGTATACATGCAGTAAAATTGTTTCATAATTTTCAATTCACATGTGTGTGCATGCACATATGTGTGTGTTCATCCCAGCATGAAATGTACAGTTCTGTCAGTCATGGTCAGATGAGTTTGAGAAATACATGAACTATTGCAGGAACTCAGTGGATGGGCTTGGGCTTCACCTTGAAAGGCTCTTTCTGACCTTGAGATTTTGTGAGTGCTTCTTTGCCAAGGGAAGCCTTTGTTTTTGTGGGACTCTTGTTTTCCCACCGAATGGGGAGCAAAATGGACGATTCCCATTCCATCCAGGCCTTGCATATGAGCCGCCCCCAGTTCTAGAAGCACAGTTGCCTGAAGGAAAGCCCCCCCCCAACCCCCTTGATAGCTCTAAATGGCCCCTCTGTATTTCTGTCCCACTTTCCTTTTCTTTCCCCCTGGCTCAGAGAAGCTCACCTTCTCAAGCTTCCAGGGTTTTCCCTAAAGCACAGCGCCTTGGGTCTGGGGTGGGCATGGAGGATCCCAAGGTGGTGAAGCTACCCTAGCAGGATTGTCCTAAGCGATTCTCTGACAGGTGCCACCTGCAATGGGCAGAGGTTCCCTTGGCCTCTTGTGGACCAACCGGCAGAGGCTCAGTAGGAAGGCTGGTTCTCAGTAGGGGGGTCATATCCCTGGAAAAAGGCCCAGGTCTTGTGCCCTCCTGCTTGGTCACCTCCTGCTTAAACCATCCGCAGCTCTCTAACAGCTCTGCCGTCTTAGCTGGTGGTGTGGAGGCAGAAGAGGACCTGAGTTCCCCAGATGGCTGAGGGCTGTCGGTGCCATTGCTGGGCATGGACTGAACCCATACTGGCAGCATAGCAGAGTTGGATGCCCTGAAGACAGCCATCCCTTTTTTGGGAAATGAACTAGCAAAAGTAGGTAATGCTCAGCCTTGTAGGAGGCCTGGATTTCTAACCTCTGGAGGTGCAGAATGAGGGCAGGGAGATTGTTGGACAGAGCTGGCTTCTCTGCTGACAGCATTGCAGTGAGGGGTTCCCTCTCGCTGGATTCGGGTCACAGCCTAGATATTTGCCCTGGCTCTCCCAGCAGGAGGTCTCAGCGTAGCTGGGAAATGGATTGTTCAGGAGCAGTTCTCTCTCCTCAGAGTGCTGAGAATGCAGAGCGGTGTGGCCCCTCCTGGACAGAGGTGGAGGGCCGGGGGCTCTCTGGAGACCCTGCTGGAATCTTCCCCAGCTCTGTGGGTGCGGGAGACACAGCTACGTGTGGAGTAGGGGCAAGTGGGTGACAGCATTGCCAGCCTCAAAGGTGGTGGGAGTCGTCGGTGAGAGGATGGGAGGGGCCAGGGCCCAGCATGGGAAGCACACACACACAGCAGAGGCATCGCGCGTGCTGCTGGGAGACTCAGGCACCGTTTCCATGGCAGGTGCCAGTGCTTTTCCTTCGTTTCTGACTGGTTTACTCTCTGCTCCCTTTTCTGTGTGTGTAATAGGACTAGATGGTGCCTGCTGTGTAAGTAATATTTAAGGAGGCACGAAGAGGCTGTAATTATGAAATCCTGACACCTAGGTAGTAAATAAACATTCATTCCTTCAGTCCTGGCTTGTTATGCCTTTGCCTGTTATTGGCACTTCTGGAAGAAGGTAGATCCCTCATTTACACACAAAGACACTGAGGCCCAGAGGAGTCTGGCAGTGCAATTGGTGACAGAGTCCTATGACCACTTCCAGCTTCAGGGCCGGCTGGGAAATCTTGTCTGTAGCGTGGCCATGTGCCCAGTGAAAACAATTACTGGCAAGAGGGGATGGTGAATAGTTTGGTAAGTTTGAGCCCGGGAACATAGTATTTAAAGAGGAGTGTATGCCTCCCGGGGGCCCACTAGATCAGCGGTTGCCAACCGGTGGTCTGTGGACCACTAGTGGTCCGTGAGGTTCGAAAGGTTGGTGACCACTGCACTAGATGCTCCCGAAAAAATAAAATATTAGTATTTCTGTTGATGTCTTATTGTCCCCACTTAACTCACCTGTGTGTGTTATACATGTGTTACAGTTGATAAGTTATTGGTTCCATGGTGCAGTTAGATACCTTATCTAACCCGGGCATCTGTGTCGTAGGTGATATATCCCAGCAGCATTGTGAGACCACAGGCCAGGGGTTAGGGTGGGCACCGAGGCCAAGTGAGGACATTGCCTTGGGAAAGCCCCTCTGCCATCCCCTCTCTCCACTCTGCTCTTGCTCCTGGCTCACTCTGGAAACAAGGCCATGATGTGCCCACACCTCACAGCTCCTGGCCTAATCCTCACAGTGGTCCACGGCACCAGTGGCCTTTCCTCACTACAAGAGGCCCCACCTCAGAGACACTGAGCCTTGTCAGTGCCAGTGTCTTCGTGCACTTTGGGGGGGGGGAGCTCTCAGAGGGCAGAGGCTGCCACCCTTAGTTTGCCCAAAGAGAGCATGATGCCAGAGAAGGCGTGGGATTAGAACTTGCGAAGAGAGAAGGGGCTGGAGCCAGAGCAAGGAGTAGGGAATGCTGGGAGGACCGTGCAGGCCCTGCCCCGGGCTGGATGCTGTGTTCTCGTGGCTACCGTCATCTGGGGAGGGGAGCCCAGGCCTTAGGTGCATGTGGTTCTCCCCAGCCAAAGGCAGATGGGTGGGTCCCAGGCCACCTTCTTTGCTCTCTGCTCCTAAGGACCTCCCAGACCCCCCTGTTTGGTTACAGGACAACCCACCAAGCTCCTCTTTCCAGCCCAAGGAACCCTCCAGGAATGCCTGGGAGAGGTACTACGAGGCTGCTTCCCTCCTGAGAGCGCTTGCTTTATGTGGTTATGGCCCACCCTTAGAAGAGGGACTCTTGCCCCTCCTGTTCCTACCTGGGGGCATTTCTGAGGCAGGATGTTCTTTGAACACATAGCTGAGGGAAAAGCTCTTTCCCCACCTGAAGGTGGAGGCCTGCCTGCAAGCCCATGGCCGGTCCTCGGACCCGGCCACCTCCATCCTGAGCTGGACCCAAGGATGACTGGCTGAGCCAGGGGCCCCATAAGAAAGGCAGTGGGAACCAGGGAGCTGACTCCTTCCACCTCCTAAGGGCCAGAGAGCGGGCAGCCGAGTCGGAGCCAGAGTTCTGGGAACCCAGCCCAGCCCCGCCCCAGTTGATGAGGGAGGTGGCGGTGGTCAGAGGAGCTCCTAGGGCAGCCTGGGAGCCACAGGGAGAGCACCTGAGCTCAGACTGGAGGCCTGGGAACTCCCCTTCCTTCTGGGGACACAGAGGCCGTTTCCAATGGCAGGGAGTCCGCCAGACCCAGCGTCCTGATGCTCAGACCAGGCCCTTCCCTCGGCCCTGGCTCAGGGAGCTCCCAGCTGGGTGGGCAAAACCTACTCGGAGCTCCAGGAGGGAGGCTCGCAGTGCAGCACCCCAGATGGCTGCCGTTGGCTTTCTCCCACTGCTCTCTTGCCAGGAACTGGACTGGACTGGGGCCACTCAGTGGAGAAGCTGACGGCTGCCCTGGAGCCTCCCATCATCCATTCCGGTTTCTGAGCCATGGCAACCTGTCTCCTTTCCCAAAGCATCGTCATGTGGGGGGAGTGAGAGGCCAGAGGGTGGGGCTGACAGATCATCTTAGGAAGGACCTCTCAGTTAAGTCTTCACCTCAGTGGGGATTTTTTAAAGCCTTCTTTTCTTGTTTTTGGTTTTCTGTCCCTAATTTCAATGTCTAACAGCTTTGCTGTCAGAAAAGGAGAAGTTGTTATTTGTTGTTAGGCTCTGGGCAGCCTTGCCACGCTCCTCACGGGCATTCCTGGACGTGGTGGTAGTGCACGTGCCTCTGGCGGCCTTGGCCTCGCAGCCCCACACCTACCTTCAAGGATGTGGCTTCTCTCTGGCCCCATTCTTGCCTCTAAAAATAACCTTGCTATTTTGAAGCCACCTGCTCTAGAGCTTTTCTCACTGCTTTCTTGGATAAGTAACCCCTCTAAGATGAGGGCTTGGCTGCCTCTGCCATCCCAGCTGTGTCCTCAGGGAGTGAGCTCCTTCCTGCCTCCCCCTCCCCCATGCCAGCTGGGCTATTGTTTTCCAGCAAGAAAGGAATGTCCAGCTGGGGAGCCTCTGAGAAGAGCCAGCCTGTCACCCTCCTCCTTGGGGGGTTAGGGGCAGGTAGGAAGTGGAGGTCCGAGGGCCAGGGTGAGGCAGAGCCCCCTGTGCTTCTTGTCGTTGGGGTCATGCAGCTGCCAGAGGTGCAGGTGCCTGTCATGAAGCCACAGGTCAGACAGGGCTTGGGGACGTGGGGATGGTCTGTGCTGCCTTCCTGTGCCCCTAGAGCTGGCCCTGAGTGTCCCTACCTCCTCTTCTTGCAGCCCACAACCCTCCCTCAGGGCACCATCAACATGAACCAGTGCACAGACGTGGTGGACGGAGAGGGCCGGACAGGCCAGAAGTTCTCCCTGTGCATTCTGACCCCTGAGAAGGAGCATTTCATCCGGGCAGAGACCAAGGAGATCATCAGCGGGTGAGTCTGCTCCGTGCATTTTGGGAGTTGGTGCTCCCTGCCCACAAGCAGGTCCTTAGATCGGGTCCCTTTGGCATAAATGAGCAGCATTGCCATCATTTCTTCCCTAAGTGTGTCCGCTCTTCTGAGCCCCTTTCTCCATTCACAGCGCTATGTGCCCACTTCACCCCCCATTGCCTTTGCTTCATCCTGTGTCCACACATTCACCAAGGCTACCCGCCTCAGTCCTGCTGATTCGAGGCCTTCTTCTGCTGGTGCTGCCCTGGTTCTGGGGCTGCCAAATCTTCCAAAGCCTCTCACTGGCCTCCTCTGTTCTCACACCCTACCTTCTGCCACTCCACCACAAGGGCTCAGTCCCCAAAGCACTGTCTCTTTCCTCTCTCCTACCTGAAACCCCATCACCTGGAGGTCAAGTCCAAGTTCTTGGGCTGCCTGGGGCTCCTTCCCAGCCTTCCAGCCTCACTCCCACCACCCTGAGCCTGAGTGCTGGTTGCTGTACATTTCTCAGCTGTCCCCACCTCTGTGCCTTCACTCTGGCCCTCCCTCAGTCTGAAACAACCCCTGGACTTCAGACTGTTAAAGTCGGCCTGCGTGTTCCCTCTGCCAGGAAGCCCTCCCCGAGGAGGCGCTGGGCTCCCTCTGCTGGCCCTGACAGAAGGTGGAGATGGTCTGTGTGACGCCTGGCTTCCTCAGCCAATGGCGGGCTCTTAACAGTGGAGGCTCTGTCTCACTCCTCGCGCCCACACGAGTCTCCAGGGCTGCTGTGTGCCCTGGCTTCTCTGTCCAAGTGGAAGGAACAGAAAGTCTCTGGGTCGTGCAGAGGCTTAGGGGAAACCCTAGGAAGGGGAAGGTGGGCCCAGGTTTTCAGGTAGCCGACAGCCAAGAGGGGCTGAGCTCCTGCTCCTGAACCCATGCAGTATCTGCCTTCCAGGAGCCCCTGCTAATGGGGCATCTGCTATCCACTCTGTAAGGCCCAGCCGCACGTGGTGCATGCACAGCGAGCATACGTGGCCGGAGCTCAGGCCCTGGGTCTTGGAGAATCCCACTCATCCTTTAAGGTAGAGAAGGAAGCCGATGAGGCTGAGAAGGCTTTTGGAGGAGTAAATCTGGGGTTTAGGGGGACCAGGCTGATTACTGCAAAGTAGCAGGGATTAGAAAGTGAAGCCCTCTGGTTTCAACCACTGAACGACTTCTGTGAGCAGTGTCTGTGGGCTTCAGTACCTCAGCTATAGCCCTGGCCAAGGCTGCTGCTTGAGGAAACAAGAGCCAGGTTCAGATCTACACGTGGTAGGCGGGTAGCAGAAGGGCCAGGTGGCCCTCTGCTAGGGGTGCCAGCTCACCCCAAATCCTCCTCCCCTGGAGAGAGGCAGGTTTGTGTTTCTAACCCCTGGGGCAAACAGGAGGACACTTTGACTCTGCGGCTCCCTGATCTTAACCCTACAGCCATACGATTTAAGGGTGTAAAGGGCTTTTACAAAGTCTTGTTACAGTTGGGAGACTGAGGCTCTGGGAATAAGGGAACCTAAGGGCACCTTCCAGGTATGAGTGACAGTATGGGGTAGTTTGCACTTCCTGGTTCACACTTGCTATCTTGGTCTTGTCTGGCAAGCACACCTGAGCCAGGGTTCCACTGCCCAACTGGATTCCTTGGGAGATCTAGCCCCTCCCCTTCGGAGCTGGGTTCCAGAGACGGGTCTGGGTGACAGGCAGGATAAGAAAGGGGGCTGTCAGGTCTCCAGGTTAGGCTGGGGAGTGTGATTTGGGGAGCAGGTCAGTGAGGTAGTGGTGTGCCACCTGGCATTGGGGTGATGACGGTGTTTGGCATTTGATCGTGTCTCTGGCAGGCAGCCTGCGTCCTGCTGTCAGACACTTGGCATAGGTCAGGGGTCCTTGGCTCTGCCCTGAGTCACCCTCTCGTGGTCATTTCTGTCTGTGTATACGGGGCCTGCCATTTCCATGCAGCTTGGGTAGCCAAGGTGAATTGGGTGCCCAGACCCAACTCTAATATGGTCAGGGGAACGCCCCATACCAGCAAACAATTCCTGGACACCAGCACAGTGTCTAAGAGTTCACGCCTCTTCTGACACCTCTACTGGGGATAGATAGCATCAGATCCCACAAGACTGCTCCCCACCCACCACACTCCTACGACTGGCTATGCATGGAGGGTCCCACGACCCCTCCTTGTGTTCAGTTCATTTGCTAGAATGGCTCACAAATTCAGGAAAAAATGGTGGACTCACTAAATTATACTTATTACCAAGGATAGTAAAGGATCCATGCCCACAGCCTGATGAAGATATGTGTAGGGCGAGGTCTCAAAGGAATTTCTGCCCTCATGGAGCTTGGGACCCGCATGGCGGCATGGAACACGTTCTGGCTCCCAGCTGGCAAGCTCTCTGAACCCTGTCCTTTTGGGTTTATGAAGACTATTACACAGACCTGTTCTAGTTACTGATTCAACCTCCAGCCCCTCCCCCCTCTGTAAAGGTGGGGGTGTGAGACTGAAAGTGCCAACTCGCTAATCATGTGGCTGGTTCTGACAACCAGACCCATCCATAGGCGTTGCCCAAAGTCGCCCCACTAACATAACACAAGACACCTTTATAGCCTTTCACTTAGGATATCCCATAGGTTTTGAGAGTGGTGAGCTAGGCATTGTGGACATAAACTAAATGCACATGAGAAATCTATTTTCATCATCTGAGTGACCAAATATATATTTGTTATAAATCACAATGATGCACAAGGTCATTAGCGGGGCCACGGCACCAGGCATGTATGCCCTCAGGGCCCCCAGTGTAGCCATTTGTACACCATAAGCATCTATAGATGCAAGCAGTGGACCTTTTTCAATTAAATTCAAAATATCGTGGCAGTTAACTGGGTAGTCTGGTCAGTCCTAAGGGCAGGGGGCTTGGGAGGTGGCTCAGTGGCATATCCAGGGCCAAAATAACTCGTGACTGCTTTCCCCCTTCTGGTCCTAGGCCTTGACCTCTCCTTCTTGTCCAATGGGCAGGGCTCTCTCCAAGGCAGCCTGCCCCAGCCCCTGCAGGCCCTCGTAACTCTGGGCAGCATCTTCATCTTTCCCACCCTCTGGGACACTCAGGCCTCCTTTAGAGTCAGGTGGGCGTGTGCCTGGAGGTGGACTTTGGCACCCATCTTCTCTCCCTTCTCTGCCTCTCTCCTTCCAGAGGGACCCTCTTCCCTTGGTTTCCTCTCTGGCCTCCTGGGTCTTGCGACCTGTCAGGGCTCCTTTGCTGGGTAACGTCATCTGTGGGCTCGGGGCCCTACAATTGGTCTAAGTCAGGGGTGGGCAAACTTTTTGACTCGAGGGCCACAATGGGTTCTTAAACTGGACCGGAGGGCCGGAACAAAAGCATGGATGGAGTGTTTGTGTGAACTAATATAAATTCAAAGTAAACATCATTACATAAAAGGGTACGGTCTTTTTTTTTTTAGTTTTATTCATTTCAAACGGGCCGGATCCGGCCCGCGGGCCGTAGTTTGCCCACGGCTGGTCTAAGTGCTTGGGTCCCTAAAGAGGTGCAGACACTTGCTTCTGGCTGGTGAGAGGAGCCGATGGCCCTTCAGCTTCTTTCCTGGTCTCCTCTGAGATGGGGCCTCCTGGACACCTGAGGCAGCCAGGTCTTGCCTGGACTGGATGGAGGGTGGCCGTTCTTTCCCAGCTTCCTCATGCTGGGCGGGGACCTCCAGGTGTTTGAGGCACCGTTTCACACAGCTCTCTTAGAGGTGGGATTTATTTAGGCGGGAATAGGCAAGGGGGGGCAGAGGTAGGGTTAGGGTTAGGGCTCCAGTTCCTCTGTGCCCTCCAGCGGTGTCAGGACTTTCTCTTCTCACCTATCTCTGCCTTCGAAGTTGGGGACCACCTATGTCCCTGGTGCCCACATCCACCACTAATCCCATGTCCACATTCCCCCGTCATCTCTCTTCCCTGGATATATTTTAACATTCATAACCTATCTGGATAATGTTGGACACATTAGCCTACTGGGCTTCCCTGAGAAATCTGAGTGCAAAGAACATATCTCATCATTTGTTTCAGGGCCAGGCATCTATTAACCTCTAGTCACAGCACCACCAACCAGGGACTGAGGTGCCTGGTGACCCTGGCCACCCTCACTTCGTGCTCAACCTGAGTCTCTGCCTCATTCAGGTTGGCAGGAGCTGCAGGCGCTCTGTTTAGTCAGCAGTGCAACCATAGTGCCCACCTCTCCTCTTCCCTCAAGGCCCTGTCCTGCAAGACTCACATTTGCCCAGTTCCATGGTGTTGCCAGTTGACAGCAGCTGGGCCAGTGTGCAGGGGCTCAGGGCACCCCAAAGGGCCTGCACCTCCCTGCCGTGTTTCCTGCACTCCAGTCGACGTTTCTGAGCAGCCTCTCCTCCCTCCTAGGTTCAGCTAGGAGAGGGCCTTAGAGTGCCCCAAAGAGCTTTCAGCCCCCGGGCAGCCTAGAAACCCCACAAGCATGTTAGCTGCTCAGGCTACCCGAGTGAGGCCCTTTGAGTCTGCTCTTCTGCTGGCTTTGCAGATGCAGCCATGGCCTCCTTTCTTGCTTTGGAGCTCACAGAAAAGTGACCTGCAGGGCCTGTGCCTCGGGCTCGAGGGCACAGGCAAGTGTGGATTCTCTCAACAAATCAAATATTGCCTGCTCTGGGCTGAGTTGGGGTGAGGGGAGTCCCTCAGCTCAGATGCTGGGATTCCTCACACCCAAGCCCAAGCCCACTCTCCTGGCAGCAGCACACCTCCCAGAAGGCCACTGACTTGACTAGCCTCCCTGCACCCCAAATTAAAGAAGTGCCTCTGAGTGCTGAGACACCAGCCCTTCCCCCGGCCCCAGGCTTGGGGTGCTGGTCATCACAGCAGCCTCCAGCCAGGTGCTGCCAGTGCAGACTTAACACGGACCCTAGTGTTCTGGGAGGAAGCGGACCAGTTTCCTCTGGTGCCATCTCCGCCAGTTCTCCTCTTGACCTCCGCTCCTCCTGTCCCCCTTCCTCCAACCCTCCCAAATGTTGCAAAGCTCCAATGAGGCAAGTCGTGGTCATATCGTGGCCTAATCTAGGCCCTGGTTTCAAAGATAATGGCTGAAGCTTAGAGGGCTGGGAGCCATGCAAGGTTATGGCTAGAGGGTAGCAGATCCAGATCTAAGCCCTCTGCTCTTCCTACTCTCCCCTGCTACCTTTCTTGATGCTGATCCAGCGTGGACTTTTTAGCATGGGGATCTTGCTGTGGGTCCCTGGGTGGCCCTGCCAGGGTTCCCAAAGCCGAGGGGTCCAGCGCCCTCACTGTATAGGTGGGGCCAGAAGTGAGTGAATGGTCTGGGAGGTCAGTGGCCTGATGTGGGGAACTTTGGTTGCAAGACTCCTTGTTTCCCGCTTTGAGAACCGTGAGTGGCCCCCAGTCATAACAAATATGGGCGCTAACCAAATCCATTCTAGAGGGTAGTTATAGAGCCAAGGCTAAGCACTGAAGGGAGGGCACTGATGGAAACAGTGATGTGCCCTGCACTCTGAGGCCAGTGGTCCGCCTGCCGCTCTGCCACGGTGGCACTCACGTCCTTCCTGGGCCACCTGCACTGTGGCCGTTGCAGGGTCAGCACCCGAGCCTGGTCCGCACAGTCTGTGCTTGTCCTGGGCTGCGCTGCTGGCACTCTCTGCCCCGGCAATGGCAGGCTCTGACCCTGTTCAGGTGCTCGGAGGCCTGGCCACTGAGTGAAGCATGGGACCTGCTTGGACCACTCAACAAGGCAGGGTCCTAATCTCCGAGAACAGGGATCTGACCTGCTCTGTTCTCTTTTCTCCCCAGATGGCTAGAGATGCTCATGGTCTATCCCAGGACCAACAAGCAGAACCAGAAGAAGAAGCGGAAAGTGGAGCCTCCCACGCCACAGGTGGGCAATGGGTTTGCCAGGTGGCGTCTCCCCGGTGGAGCTGGGGAGCAGGAAGAGCACCTGGAAAGTGAGAGGGCTTCGGGGCCCAGCCTAAAACTGGAGGTGGAGGAAGGAGTCAGGTCAGGGCTGAGGCGGTCATCAGCCCAGTCTGTCTCCCTCCTTCTTCTGATGACTTGGGGCTCCTCTCTGAGCCACAGGCAGGACCCACTACAGGGACAGGGCGGCCTGCTTGTGTGGTCGGGGCTTCCCCAGGAGTTTCCAGCCAGGAGGCAGGTGCTGAGGAGCAGCAGCACAGCATGTCCCTTTTCCTGGCTGTCCTGCCGGCTGCTGGGAACAGAGAGCGGCTGCTGGGAACAGAGAGCATGCTCGGAGCGGCTGCTTGCCGCAAAACATTCCTCAGGGCCTCAGCTCAGTTCCACTTTCCACATAGAGAGGAGCCTGAAGACATCAGGCTGGGAACGGGGGCTGGGCAGGGAGGTCCTGGAGTGTCCTGGCCAAGTGAGGGGCTCTCAGGGGACCTTACTCCTGCTCTGGGCTTTGACCATAAATGGAAAAAACTGACGCTAGCCTTGATTTGAGTGCCCCTGCCCCACTCCCATGTGACCAGAGTGGGAGGGGCTGGGGTGTCTCACCAGTTCCAGTCCTTCCGCAGAGGTCACTGTCCTCCTCCTCCCCTCCCATCCACAGGGGCCCCAGGCCATGCTCCACACTCCTGAGGCCCTGGTGCAGCACATTCATCTTCCTGAGCCTCTGTGAATGGATTTGCACATGGGACTGTTGAAATCTAGTTAGACTGTTAGTGTGACCATGAAAGGAAGTACTGGGCCCATTTTAGGTGTTCGGTAAATGTTCTTCTTTTCCTCTCTGCTCCAAACGTGACCATTACCAAGTGCTCTTGCCTTGCCTGATCGAGCCTTACAGTGACCCTAAGTGTGGGCAGGATGGAGAATGGGATCCCTTGGCATCTAGCAAGGCTCAGAGCCTGGCAGAGAGCCAGCCCATGGCAGAACCAGGCTACCCCTGAGGTTAGTAGTCCTCACTGTCTGCTCTCTGCTTCACCGAGTGACAGAAGTGGGCCTGGGCAGGACCAGGAGGTGTGTGCTGGCCTGGGTCCCTTTCTCCTCCATAATCCCCACACCTTGTGGGTTCCCCTGAACATGCATGACCTGGCTTCCTGCTGATGGAGTGCGCCGGGGCCTGCCCTCCATTCATCCTCCCCAAGGAGTCCCAGGCCAGCATCCCCTGGAAGTAATGTTGCTGGGGAAAAATTGGCAAGATGCCATCAGTCATTCCTGGACTGAAAGTGGAGCTTCCTGCTGGGGAGTAGCAGGTATACACTCAAATCCCCCAACGCTGCCGGGTTTGAGAGAAAAAATCCCAGGCAGAATAAGTGTCTAGGCTCTGCAGCATTCCCAAGGTAAGCCGCCATCTCCAAGTAAGGCACTTACGTGTGCAGAAGACAGAAGACAGTAAGCCCAGCCCTGGGAATTCAGTTGTGTTCTTGTTCCCTAGCTCCTCCCCCAATGTTATCTCCACCCCAAATACTGCCAAGCTTCACCTTTTCAGTTGGTAGCAGGAGCCATGTGATCAGAGCTTGGGGAAGTGACCCAGTTTCCTGAGGATCTCTTAGAGCCTGGGGCTCCTGGGGTCCAGTCTTCTCACTCAGCCCCTCTTGAGCCCTGGCAGAAGCCAACTGGGATGATTTCTTCCTTCTGCCGCTTGCTTTCCAGAGCATCACTTTTGAGGCCACTGGTTTCTGGAAGCTGTGAACATTCATCAGGGCCAGGCCCTGGAGGCAGTTCCATGGGGGATGTGGGGCCTCTCCAGAGGAGAGTTGGGGGATCTCTGGGCAGGTTTTTCCTCCACAGCCTGATGCTGAAGGTATTCTAGGGACCCAGATGGGACTGTGGGGAAAGCCTAAGCCATTAGGGCCTCAGAGAGACAAGGACCCAGGGGCCTGGCCTCTCTCTCTATGGCCCGGGATAGTTTCAGGTCAGACCAGCGCGGAGCTGGAAACATTGCTCCGCTGCACCCTGCCCTCTGGCTACTGAGGCAGGAGCCCAGGGCTCCCCTCAAGAAGAGGGTCTCAGGCAATTGGGAGTTGGGGCCATGGAATGTAGGCACCGAGGGGTTTGCTGAGAACATCAGAGGGAGAGAGAGGGAGAGGCCCAAGCCGGGCCCTGAGGGAGGATGAGGATTAGGCTGTAAGAAGGGCACACACCTCTCGGCCAGGGCCCAGGGCAAGAGGAGGAACAGGCTTGCCCTGACCAGAGCCTTCGAAGCCTGGGGCCTAATAGGCATGGGCTCCCAGGAACTGCTTCTTACTCGGGCCCCGTTCACTCCAAGAGGAATTCTCATGGTGCTGAGACACCTGGAGAAGGGACAGTAATCTACTCTGGGTATGACAGGGCAGGAAGGATGGAGATTTTACTGCCCTCACCCCAAGTCCCAGAGTTGTGAGGCCAAGGGACACGTCTCCCAGCCAGGTGTGCGGGGCTCGCTTTGTCAAGTGAAGCTTTGGGAGGCTGGTCCTTCAACTCCCCAGCCCCCAGGCTCTTGGTCCTTGCTCCTGCCTTCAGGGACCATATGAAACGTTCCAAAAGGAATGGCCCTCTTGGTCTAGCCCTCCAGCCCATCCAGGGCCACATGTCTGCTTCTTAGGCATCTTGTTTTCTACTTGGGAGCCTGCTCCTATGCCCTGCCCCAGCCAGGGCCCTTCCTCCCACTCACTCTCCGTGCCCAGGAAGTGGAGAGGAAGGCTTTCTATGAAACCGCCTCCAAAGAGGGGTCTGCCCAGCCGTGCGGAGACAGAGGCCCTGGCTGGGCCCGCCTTCCTCCCTGCTAGGGGACCCTCTAAGCAGCCAGGTACACAGCACAGACTGTCCTAGTGCTGACGTCCTGAGCACACAGCTGTCCAGCCACACAGGGACCAGTACCTGGAAAACTAGTGCTTCCACTCCTGCCTCTTGTCCTGGCAGCCAGGCTCTGGGTCAGCGTGAGCCCAGCACCCTCTGCCACAACGGTGACAGTGTGGGGAGCAGAGGTTGGTGCCATGCAGCCCTGGCCTGGCTTGTGCACGGTCTCAACTCTCTGAAGAAGAAAAGCGACTTCACCTGGAATCGGGCTTCCCCACCGTCCACCCTCTCTTGGAAGCCAGCGTGGCTTTGTGCCTGCTGCACCTGCCCCCTGTCCCTGCTCACTCGGCACAGAGGCAGGAGAAAGCACCGCTGCCGAAGGAGGGAGAGAGCTCCGTGTGGGCCTTGGCCACTGCCAGGGCCCTGTGCTCCCGAGAGCCCCCAGAAGCGGGAGCTCGGGCAGGGAGTGCAGCTGCCACCTGCGCTGCGCAAGTTGGGAGGCCCAGACCAGGAGACGGGTCTGTAGCTGCTTAGTGCTGGGAAATGCATGTTCCCCGAGTTCCCGGACAGGGCCCCTCATATCTCAGGCCTGGAATTTTCTCTGTCTTAGGGATTCCTGCCACTCCACCCCCTCCCCAGTGCTAGGGTCACGGCCCCAAGCATCAAAGGGCTGCCTGTGTGTCACAGGCACTTCACCCACAGGATGGGCCGAGGGCACTGGCAGTCAGGGCCACTTCCTTCGGGAGCACTGTCGCCTGTTCCTTACCCTTGGGCCCTTTTTGACAACCTCTGCCTGCCCTGGTCTAGCACCCCCTCCATAGAGGGGAGCGATTCACCAAGGAGGGCCCTCCCCTCACCGCACCCAGCTCTGCGGGAGGAATCTAGCTCCACCGAGCCGTCAGCGCTGGTGCAGCCCTGGCCTGTGGCCCTTCAGCAGGAGGCCCTGGGTGGTGGCGAGGGGACTCAGAGTGGCATCTCCTTTAGAGAAGCTGGGCTGCGGGGCATGAAGCGAGGGCTGGGTGCTGGCTGAGGGGACAGGGAGCCCTGGAGTCGGGTCTCCTTGGGTCAGTGGAGCCTCAGGAACTGTCAGAAACCATCCCTCCTTCCGAGAAGGACCCTTCTTTTGAAGGAGTCCGTCTTGGGCATCTCCAGCCCAGGAATTGGGTCTGCTGGTAGTTCTGACTCAATGGGAGGTCATGTGCGTCCTGGGTCTGCGGGGAAAGCCATCCTGGCTTGATCCTTCCCGTGAGGATGGTGCCTAGGCCTCTCAGTGGGGCCTCCAGGATACCCAGCCAAGGCACCGCCCCTAATCCTGGGCCTTTCTCCTGCTCCTAGGGCGCCTGGAAGCTCACTTTTCCCTTATTGGCTGAGCAAGCCTCCTCTCCCTCCCCTGTGAGGGGATTAGGGTGGACTGGATGTGGCGGTGCCGAGCCAGAGCCCAGCACGTAGTCGACACAAGTAGCTGTGGATAAATGACCACTGGTGGTTTCCTGTGGCTGCATGTGCACACATCCAGCCCGTGTCAGCCATCTGTAACCCTCGCAAGAGCCCCAAGTCAGAGACGGGTTGAAGTAGGTTTTTAAGAATGAGGCTTGGCCACCAGCATGGGAGTCGGAGAGTGGCCATTTGTACTTTATTGCCCATGTTTTGGGGGAGACAGTTAAGATATACCTCACTTTTGATAGGGCCCAAAGCCATCTAACCCTTCAGCAGCTGGCCCCCAGGACCATGGGCTGGGAAGGGGGCGTGGCCAGGATGTGAGCTGGCACTGCAGGGTGCCACCCTGGTCTCAGCTCCACCCTGGTCTCAGCTCTGGTTTGCAGTGTTGCAAGGTTCTCTGTGTGGTCCCTGTGTCAGCTCCCCCTCCCTTGTCTAGGCTCTGGTTGCGGCCTGGAAGTTCCCTGTGGGCTCTGGAATGGACCCCCTGTGTCTAATGCATCCCATACGCATGCTTCCCCCACAGCAGCACCACTCCCAACGTGGGAGCGATGGGATGAGACTGTTCCCATCTGGGCTGTAGGTTCCCATCAAACTTGTACGGCGGGCTGGGCTGGGCAGGAGGTTGTGAGCAGGTTTATGTTTGCATCTAATGACTTCTTCCTTTAAACCAGTGGTTCTCAACCTTCCTAATGCCGCGACCCTTTAATACAGTTCCTCATGTTGTGGTGACCCCCAACCATAAAATTATTTTCATTGCTACTTCATAACTGTAATTTTGCTACTGTTATGAATCATCATGTAAATATCTGATATGCAGGATGTATTTTCATTGTTACAAATTGAACATAATTAAAACATAGTGATTAATCACAAAAACAATATGTAATTATTATATGTGTTTTCCGATGGTCTTAGGCAAGCCCTGTGAAAGGGTCGTTCGACCCCCAAAGGGATCGCGACCCACAGGTTGAGAACTGCTGCTTTAAACGGTATCCCAGGTTCATTTTAGCGTCCTAGGATCAAAAAGAAGAGGTAGGTGAGGCAAAGAGTGGGCCCTGGTGTGGATGCTGTGTGAACACATGCTTTTCATTCACCAGTGGGCCCATCTCAACGGTGTGTTCTTTCCTCACCTCGTCTCAGCTCCCCTCACTCTACCCTGAGCACCTGGAAGTCTGGGAATGACCGACTCTGAACCAGTCACTTGGGGTCTGGTCTCTAATGCCTGGTCCGCTGCTCTGGGCTGTCTGGTACTGTGGGCAGGGAGAACTTGCATGTGTTTGGCGTTGAGGATATGAGCAGAAACCCTAAGCCTTTGCGCCATGCATTTGCCAACCCTGGCCTGAGGCCCAGGCGGCCGAGCACTTGGGGAGAAAAGGCCATATCGCCATCCAGAAAGAGCTTCTCCCCTGACCAAGACACCTTTCTTTTGTGAGCCTTGCCTTTTGGGAATTCTGGGCCTCTGACATTGTGTCGTTGGTCGTGGTGTCCCCTTAGCCAGACACCCAGGCCCCCAGGCCCTCTGCACTAGCTCGGCTGTGTGCTCTCTCCCCAGGAGCCAGGGCCAGCCAAGATGGCTGTCACCAGCAGCAGCAGCATCCCCAGCGCCGAGAAAGTCCCCACCACCAAGTCTACACTCTGGCAGGAAGAAATGAGGGCCAAGGACCAGCCAGAGGAGAGCAGCCTGAGTCCAGCTCAGAGTCCCAGCCAGAGCCAGCCTCCTGCTACCAGCGCCCTGAGGGAACCTGGGCTGGAGGGTGAAGATGGTAAGTGGTGGCCAGGTTGGCACAAGTGCCCGCCTGTCCTGGTGCCCTCCTCACAGTGCTGGAAGGCCTCTGTACAGCGCTGGCCCTGCTCAATTCAGCCGTGAGTCCCACCTTCAGGCTCTCTCACCTCCTATGGCCATCAGCCCTGGCAGGGCCTGACCTGGTGTGGGACTGGGAGCCCTGGGCTCCAGCCTTGCCTTTGCCCATCCAGCTTGGGAGGCCTGTCTGTAAAGGAGGATAGCACGTGCTGCGTTAGCCCCGGGTGGGTGTTGTGAGAGTCAAAATGCTCTGTCAGGAGGTCTGTATGTGAGGAGGCCTGTTTCCTGCCCCTTGTGCTGCTTTGTCTTCATGGCAAATTAACCCCAGAAGTCCACTGTGTCCCTGAGAGCAGCAGCAGTAAGGGTTGTCTTCTCCTCCTCACCATCCCCGTGCTGCCAGGACCCGGGGAAGCAGGGGAGAGGGTGCTGGGGAAGAAGCCGTTGGCCTCCCATGCTTTCTCCACTTAGCACTTGGCCTGAGCAAAGCAAGGCAGCGGTCTCTGCCTCCTTGTGCAAGCCCTGGACGGCTCTGGAGGACGCAGGCTGGCTCTTCCTATTTGTGCTTGTCCTGATCAGTAAAGACAAGTGGGCAGTTGGGACTGACCCAGATCTGAGCAGAAGTTGCCTCCATTCTCATTTGGTAGCACACACCCAGTCTGTCTAAATTCCTTCACTCCTCTGGTTTCTCTACAAGCCTTTTGCCCCTTCCCTCCCCAAATATACTAGTATGCTAAAAGACGAAATGGCTCGTTGGTTCCTCCTTAATATTTGCTAAGAAATCCTTGTTGATGGGACATCTTGGGGGGGGGGGCAGGGGGAGGGTCCTGCTCTTCCAGTCAAGCTCCCAGGCTGGAGGGGAGAGCCTCCCTGGCCGTCTGCCACGAGGCAGCCAGGCAGGGGGAGGACGAGGCACAGCGGGAAGGAGCTGTATCCCCACCGCCTCCTTGGGGAGCCACATGGGCCTTGGGAGGCGAAAGCAGAGAGGCCCCTGTTTGGACCTGTGTGGGCTTGGAGAAAACATCCTCAGGAACCCAGCATGGCAGCAGGCTGAGTGTGTCTCCTACCCCCTCGCTTCCAGAGGAGAGCGCCATGAGCAGCGACCGCATGGACTGTGGCCGCAAAGTCCGGGTGGAGAGTGGCTACTTCTCCCTGGAGAAGACCAAGCAGGACTTGAAGGCCGAGGAGCATCCACTGCCCCAGCCGGTCTCCCCTCCCAGCCCCAGCACCCCCAACAACAGGTACAGTGGCCCTGGACCGCCCTCCCAGGAGCTTGGTCATCCCTTTCCTTCTCCAGGTTCTCAACCCTTGCGTCAAATGGTCTGCAGCAGCTCCCTCGGCTCTCTGGATGTGGCCAGCCAGCCTCCCGCTCATGTGGACTCCAGCAGCCCGGGGGGGCGGGGAGCAGAGAGACTGGGGTGCACCTTTGCCTTTAAAGCCAGCAGGCAGTATGCCGCCCTGGCCGACGTCCCTAAGGCCATCAGGATCAGCCACCGAGAAGCCTTCCAGGTGGAGAGAAGGCGGTTGGAGCGTAGGACTCGGGCCCGGAGCCCTGGCAGGGAAGAGGTGGCCCGTCTGTTTGGCTACGAGCGGAGGTAAGGAGGGAATTGGAGGGCTGAATGCATGTGCACACAGAGGCACACAGACCCCCTCCCCCACACACACAGACCCATGTCTCTCCTGCACACTCTCACATTTTCTCTTACACACGTCCTCACACCTAGTCTCACACTCACATACTCTTACGCACTCATGCAGTCTTCTCACACAGTTTCTTTCACATGTCCTCTCCCTCCCTGCCTCCCCTCCGCATACACACCCCTGTTTCCTGAGCACACTCAGAGCATGTGGGGAGCCTTTCCCTCCTGACCCTGCGCTCTGGTTCCAGAACTCAGCTCCTGGGGGTTAGAATGTAGGATCTCTGGGTACCCAGAGGCTGAGGCCAGGAGCCAGCTGCTCCCCATGAGTGCTGCTTAGCCTGGGACCTTGAGGCCTCTGGGAGGGTGCTCAGCTGCCAGGCCTTGTGTGGCTGGATCTTTTCTTTCCTGGCCCAATTCTGATCTCTAAAGAGACAGTGGAGGCAGGAAGACCACAGAGGTGCAGGTGGTAGCAGGAACTCTCCTTGCCATTCCCAGGTGCAGGTGTGGAGGAAGGGCAGGGAAGGGGGCCATGCCCAGGGGGTGGGGTGGCAGCATAGTTCTTCCCTGCAGCACTTGCTTGATGCCATCTCTGAGGCCACACCCCTATCTGCACCAGCGCGCCCGAGTGCCCCTCCCATATAAGAGCTTCCACCTACGTCTGTAAGGAGGAGCCTCTGCCTCTCTGTTTGCCCAACAACAGGGTTCTCACCCAGTTCACTGTTAGGGTGCTGGTGCTCACGGACCCTCTAAACCAGTGGTTCCCAAACTTATTTGGCCTACCGCCCCCTTTCCAGAAAAAATATTACTCAGCGCCCCCTGGAAATTATTTTTTTTTAAATTTTAATAGCAATTAAACAGAAAGATATATGTATTAATGTTTCTACCTTTTTCGTAAAATATAGTAAAGAAAGGTGTAAATTAGAAACATTGAAGTTTGAAATTATGAAACTATTTATTGAACTCAGAATAGAAAGGTAATACAAAAAAAGTTAAAACAAATGCACCCGTGGCCATCACCGCCCCCCTGGATCGCTGCAGCGCCCACCAGGGGGCGGTAGCGCCCACTTCGGGAATCACTGCTCTAAACCATTTGAAAGTCTGTGAAAAAAATGTTTCCCAGTGAAAAAAATCCATAGTTTTTATTAGGTTCCCAAAGAAGTTCACTTTCCAGAAAAGTTCCAGAAGTGTTTACAGTGTCCTCACTGTCCCACCAAAGCCTAAGTAAGGCTCAGAGTTGAGGCCTGCTGTGGGGACAGGCCAGGGTGGCAGTGGGCTCCCCTAAGAGGCTGGACCGGAATAGGGTGCCTTTCTCTTGTGCTCCCTTCTCTTTTTCACACCGCTGCACTCTCCACATGCACCAGGGAGAAAGGACCTGTGCACCTGTGGGTTAACCCCCAGAATAAAGAAAAGACACCCAGAGTGGTTGGTCTTGAAAGAGAAGAAAACAGAATATTCCTAATTCCAAGAGACAGTTGGCTGGCTTCCTGTTTCATTAGTAACCCCATGAGGTGCCTGTGCCAGCATCCCAGTGTGTAGGTGGAGAGAGAGGGCCTCAGAAGCAGGTGACTCCCCTGGGAACAGCTGGAGCAGTGGACCACACCCACTGGAACCTGAGCTGGGAAGGCCCTGCTCCCATGGCATGCCTGGGGCTGTCCTTTAAGCAGTTAAGGAAATACATAACTGAAAGGACTTGTCGGGGGTTTAGGAGGCCAACCGCCAGGGTGGGAGTGGCTCCGCGCTGACCTGTGGGCAGGCTGCGAGTTGGGAAGGCGCTCGTGGGGCAGCCACGCCCTGGTTCAGTGGCAGACCAGAGAATTAACATTCAGCTCACCTGCTTGGCTTTGAACTCATTCTGATCTAGAGGCCTGGGGTTGACAGCATCTCTGGGGCTTTGCTTTTTGCATGCTCTTTGCTACCGTGGGTTTTTACCTGGTGTTGGCACCCCTGGGACCCAACCGGCTCTGCACCCTAACACTGTAACGTCACTTTCTTACTGGCCCTGATGGCATCTGACTGGCTGCTGTCACTTCCCCAGGCCTGCTCTCTGGTCCTGAGTGGCTGGCCTGTGCTTGGTTGATTCCTGTCCCTGGTAGAGTGAGTAGCACCCCACGTTGGCAGTGTCAGCCACAGCTACCCAGAGGGCACTGAGCCAGGCCTGCCAGAGGCCAGGTTGGGGGGTGATGAGTCGGTTTCCTGAAAAGTTATGGCCCTGAAGCAGTCCTCTGGGCTGATCAGCTCTGCTCTTCAGACTTGCTCCCAAGCCTTTAAAACATTTCTTGGATAGTGAGTTGCTGCTGAGCGAGCGTGGTGCTTGCTGAACTGTTGGTGACTCACACAGGGCCAGCTCCAGTTGGTCCTGCACCCTGGGCTGAGAGCCCAGAGAGGTTGACAGAGGTGCAGCGCCCCCTTCCTGTGCTGTCAGCCAGCACAGGGTGGAGTTGTCACGTAGGCAGCACTTCAAGGGATCCAAGTTAAAAACTTCCCAGTGTGCAAAGTAAACATGGCCGACTTCAGAGCCTATCCATGTGGAGAGGCTGCAGACAGGGCCTCTGTCCTGTCTCTCATGGACTCCTCCTCCTGCGGTCCTGGCGGGTCTGCAGCAGGCAGTCACATGACTCGGCCCAGCGCTGCGCCTGGGGCCTCCCTGGGGCTTCCTGGGCCTTGGCCTCAGTGGGTGCGGCTCTCCTTCAGCAAGTGGTGGCACTGAGGCCTCGCAGGGGCCTGGAACCTTATCCGACCCCACGGGGTGGTCAGGCATGGGGGAAGCTTCCCCTCCCCCCCCCCCCCCCCCCGCCCCCGACCAGGCGAGCCTTTGCAAGAGTTTCCTATGGTCCTGGGAACTCCTGCCTCTGCCATAGCTTCCTGTGCTCAGATGCCTGCCCTCTCTCGCTGCTGTCCCTCAGCCTCCTGCACTGCTGGTCCGGCAGGCTGGCCAGGGAGAAGTTTTGTGCCTGGAGGGGACGCCACAGAAGCTCAGTGCACTGGGGCTCCCACTCTAATCGTGGAAGCACAGGGAGGAGCAGAGGATGCAGGTGCCCCAAGTGCTTCCCTTGGTGTTAAGCCTTCCTTGATAAAGAAACCCTAAAATACCATGTTTAATGGAAACCCTCCCTGAAGAAAGCTGGCCGGGTGAGGGCGGGGTCTCAGGTTTGAGGCTGCTTCCTCTCTTCTTCCCTAGAGAGGTGACTGCAGTCTCTGGGCTCAGAGCCCTTTCCTCCCTCCCCTTGGCTCCGCCACTTGTCCAGAATGCACACCCTCCCTAAGAGGCACCTCCGGCACTTGCCTGGGTCCCTGTGGGAGGACAGGCCTCTGGCCCTGTAGCCGCCAGCGTTCATTCCCAGGCCCCTGGTGCGCCCTCCCTGCCACGCCCACGGTGCAAACTCCTCGTGACTCCGGGAGGAAGGTGGTCTGCCCTCCTCAGTGTCACCTCGGGTTTTGTTTCTTTAATTCTTTGACTGATTTTGATTTACCATTATTTGATTTAAAAATCAGCCCTTTCTGTTTATTTATTCTTCAGCCTTATTTTCTTTCAGGTCTTGCCCCTCTCCACCTTCTCCTGCTGTGTCGCTGTGTGACGTTACTCGCCCTTCCTCCGCTGCTTCGCTCCCATCTCAGCTCCGTCTCCAGCCATAGATGGCCTGATGATGCCGCCGGCCCTTTCACATGAAATCAACTTGCTTTGTTTTGTTTTAATTTGTTTTTTGATTCTTTTTACTGTTGGCAGAACAATGTTAATTCATGGGCCTTTTTCTTGCTCAATTTTGGACCTTTGGGGTGGGGGCTGCATTATGATCTGCTAGGCACTCAGGGAGGATGGGCGTCCGTCCCCTCCACGTGGTGACTGCCTTCTGATCATGTCTGCTCAGGAGAGGACGCTGCTGACGGGCTGTGTGGTTGCCGAGTGTGTCATCACAACAGATCATTAGGGACCTCCAGTGTTGGCGGTGTGGGGGAGGGGGAAGCGAGCTGCTGCCCGACCCTGCACAGCTCCACCCTTTGCAGGGGAGAGAGGGAGCTCAGGGAGGGGTGTCAGAGCCAGGTGTACTGTGCACAGCCTACACCTTGCAGAAGGGGAGGCCCAGGGAAGGCTGGGGTGGGCCAGTGTGAGGGGTGCCTGAAGGAGCCTCTCTGCAACTTGAGAACAAACCCACCTTGGTCTGGGGTGACCCTGTCTCCCCCCAGCAGCCTCCTGTCCTCTCTTGCAGGAGGTCTCAGGTCATCGAGAAATTTGAAGCCTTGGACATTGAGAAGGCAGAGCACATGGAGACCAACTTGCCAGCGGGGCATTCGCCATCAAGCGACACGCGCCAGGGCCGTAGTGAGAAGAGGGCGTTCCCCAGGAAGCGGGTGAGCTCTGGGTGGGACACAGGCCCACACTCTCTGAGCCACACACACACCCTGACACGCTTCTGCTGGGCTCCCCATTCTCCGTTCACAGTCATTTGCTTGGGTCTCTCGTCTCCTCCAATTAGTGACCTTCTTAAAGAAGAGCCTGCCTTCTGCTCTTCCTATCAGAACTTGTCCATCTCTGCTGGAGGCCGCTCTATGGCCATGAGGTCCCTGGTGGGACCAAGAGCCTCTCTTTCTCTCTGCGGTGGCCCGGCCACGAGGTCGGGCACCTCTTGTTTCTCTTTCAAGTGGCAGCCACAGCCCTCCTTTCTCCACTCCACAGGGTGGACTGCTCCCAGTCCTCCTGAGCTGCCCACCGCCTTGTGGCCTTGCCGTGCCTGATCTTCATCTTCCTCCTCAGATTTTCTCTGGGCCCCTGAGGTGACCTGCTGCTCTGCTGGCAGCCATGTAACTCGGGGCTCTTCCTTCTGTGACCCCAAGAAGCAGGGGTGGGCGGGACCAGGACTGATGGTGACTGGTGTCTGGAAGACAAGGTTGCTCCACCAGCCTAGGCATCGCCGATCCCACTGCCGGAAGCAAAGCAGAAGGCGCTGGACGGAAGTCTGCACGCAGGCTCCTGTCCTCTGTCCGCAAAAGCCGCCTCACTTGGGAACAAGGTCCCTACAGTCCTGACCCTTCCACAGCTCTGGCTGCCGGACTCCCTGCTTCCTGCCCGAGTTGACAGTACTGACTGGCGGCTACTCTCTGCCACAGGACCTCCCCAGTGAAGCCCCCACAGCTCCTCTCCCGGACGCCTCAGCCTCCCCCCTGTCTCCACACCGAAGAGCCAAGTCACTGGACAGGAGGTCCATGGAGTCCTCACTGACGGTGAGCCCAGGCGCCCAAGCACCATGGCCTGGAGGTGCTGCTCCTGCTGCTTCTGTCACTTGAGGTCACTGTCTGCTGCTGTCCGTGCATCTGTGCTGGAGCTCCCCTCTGCACGGCCCTCATGTCTGACGGGATCAGCTGCTCTGTTTCTTTCCCTTTCCTGGGCTTTGTGGACACCCTGAGCTCTGAGGTCTCGTGGAGGTGGCCACCTGGCCAGGTCAGCAGAATCTTGATTGCAAGGGATCAGGGCCAAAGCAAAGAACCCCTGTTCTTATTTGGGGTGTTTGTTTCTGTGACATTTTGGAGACAGGAGCCCCTCTGGCTGGGGTTTCCCCACAGAGGGAGAATAGGCCCTTGCTCAGGTCGGTTGAGCTGAGCAGTGGGGGTGCAGGTAGGGAGTGATCAGAGGGAGTCCAGGTGGCACCGTCACTCCCACCAGCAGCGACAGGTCTGAAGCCCTGGGGGTGGCCTGGGGCTCCTCTCGGCCTTTGTCCTTTGCCCCCTGAGGAGCCCAGGGCTGGTGTCTCCGTTTTCCCACCGGGGTGTCGAGCCACCAGCCCGATTGACAGGAAACTTTGATGCAAGGACAGGAGGTTTACCTGAGGAAGTTTTATTTTTTCTTGAGTTCTGAGTTTTGCTCCAGGGTGTGGAGCAGAGACTCCCGGGACAGGTGTTGGCCACTGTCCTGCCCTGCACATCTGTTCTCTCTGACTCCTCCCAGTCCCTGGAATACAGGAAGACACCACAGCCTGTTTCTGCTCAAGATGGTGGTAGAAAAGCAGAGAGCAGGTGGGGTGAAAGGAAGGCTGATCCGTGTCCCTCTGAGGTACCAGCTGTATGGGGTACTAGGCATAACACACAGGCAGGGGCCAGGTGGGCTGCAGGGGATCCCAACGGGAGTGTGGACAGCACAGGGCAGGAGGGACCAGCAGGGATAGCTCTTCGTTCCAGCCCCACTGGTGGTCCTGCACCCCCTGCTTCATTGTCTGTTGTCCTAGTTTTGCTCCTTGTAGGGAAATGGAGACTGAACTTCATCCTGGTACAGATAAGTGGCCTGAGGGTCTTGGCACGGTAGCTGCTGCGTCTGGCTGAAAACCAGACGTGGCCTCTGCTCAGTGGTCTGTCTCTCTCTCTCTCTCTCTCTCTCTCTCTGTCTCTGTCTCTCTCTCTCTCTCTCGCTCTCTCGCTCTCTCGCTCTCTCTCTTTCCTGTGGCTTCTGCAGAACTTATGAATTCTCCTAGCTGCCACTGCAGACCTTCCCCTTCACATAATACTCTCAGTGACTCTCCGTCTGGGCCAGTCTTCTGTGCCTCCCAGGAAGACAGAGCAAGGGCCTGTCTCAGAGCACCAGGCAGCCCTGCTGTCTTGACAGGAGGCGGGCTCTCCTTCACAGTAGCCTGCCCATCCTGCCATCTCGCTCCTCACAGCTGTGCGTGCCTGTGGGGCAGCAGGCTGCACCCACCGGGGCCAGGGGGGCCATGCAGGCTTATCTGGTAGGCGAAGAAACCCCTTTTCCTGGTGTCCGTTAGATCTGGACAGAAGTGTGCTGTCAGTCACCCTTTGTCCATGACTGAGATGCCACCGTGTTTCCTCTGAATTGTTCTTTTTTCTTTTCTCAGCCTGACCTGCTGAATTTCAAGAAAGGCTGGCTGACCAAGCAGTACGAGGATGGCCAGGTTTGTATGCAGAGCTTCTGTGGTTTCTGAGAGGCTTGGAGCAGCTACAGGGCCGAGCTGGCCTTATCCCTGGCTGGTCTGTGAGCACTGGCTCTGCCTCCACCTCTGGCAGACCCCCATCTCCTCCGAAAAGTGGAGGATCACAGCCCCATTGCTGCAGTGGGCTGGGCTTCTGGAGGGGCCAGCAGGCCTGCCTGCTGCCAGGGTGTGGATTGCTCTCCTGTGCCCAGCAGTGATCTTGGCCTTGGGCTGTGGGGACATCCATCCTCCAGCACTAGCTCCCCACTTGCTATTCTTCCCTAAAAGTTCCCTGGGAGACCAGGCTCCCCAGGAACAGGGAAAACCTCTGGTTGTAGGGTTGGCTTGTGTTTGCATACAAGGCAGCCAAAGAGACAGCGGCTGAAGGCAGCAAGGCTCTGTCAGAGATACCAGCTCAGCTGCAGTCCTGGGAGAGCCACTGTAGTACATTCTTCCCATCAGACTCAGGCCGGAAGAGCCACTTACCACTGGACCTGCCAGCCCTCCCTTGACCCTGGTTGGGGCTAGAAGGCCAGACTCCAAGGAGGCTTGAGGAGCAGCCTACTAGGTCACACCAGGAAGCCTCGGAACCTTGCCCGCCCACGTTCTCCCCCTGCTTCCTGCGTGGCTGTGCCAAACGTCCTCTCTGTCAGTCCTCGCGTCCTTGCCCGAGACTCATCTCCCTCTCTGCTCCCCACAGTGACGGCAGGGGAATCTGGCTGGTTGGTTTGCACTGCTGGCTGCAGTGGGCGCACCCTCTGGGTAACCAGCCAATGGCTATGGCTCCCAGGTGCCTCCTTAGAAGGAAGATGCTGATTTCACAGCCACCTTTCAGCTCTTAAGGGCCCAACCCCCTGACTGCAGCCTCTGGAGTTGAGATTGAGGACTGTGAAGCGCTGTTCACCAGCCACACCTCTGGGTTACGAAGAGCCCGTAGCCTATGGCCCACCCCAGCTCCCCCTCCTACCCTATCATTGGGGAGCCAGGGCTTCGCAAGTGCCCGGGAATCCTGTGTGCATGGCTGCTGGGCCTTGTGGATCCTCTGTGTGTATGTCTGCTGCTTGTGGCAGGGCCGCCCGCCCTCTGCTTTACACGTGCGCAGGGAGGTGCTCTGGGACTTGGCACAGACCCCTAGGAGCAGGAGGTGCTGCATAGGAGTTGAGTCTGTCTTTTCCCTCCCATTTTAGTGGAAGAAACACTGGTTTGTCCTTGCTGATCAAAGCCTGAGATACTACAGGGATTCGGTGGCCGAGGAGGTGAGTGTCTCGGCTTTGCTCCCATTGGGGAGACAGCGGAAGGGGTTCAGGTGGCATCTGGGAGCCCGAGGCTGCTGGGCTGAAACCCCCTCTGACTGTGGACGGGTGTCTGCATTGCCGTCTTGGCCTTCCCAGTCCAGACCTGGGGGGAAGTCTGAGTGCCGTGCAGCCAGTTTGGGCTGTGCTCACCATGGGCTCCTGCCTGGGCCGGGGGTCTCCTGAGGCACTGCTTCAGGCACCTGGGCAGAGTGGGTTTGAGCAGCTTCTTTGAAAAACAAAGATGTCTTATTTTAAAACTCAGGATGAGCAGTTTTGTTTTTTTCTACAAAGAGTTTGTGGTAAAGTGAGTCTTTTGAAGACTGAACTAACACATCTTGTCCTTTCTCCTCTGGATGAGCATAGAGCATGGCAGGTGGACGTGGTTGGCTCAGTCGACAGTCTTGATTCCACAGTCAAAGGACCACCAGAGGAGCTCTTTCCTCACCTACGAAAACCCTTTATTTATTTATTTTTTTAGCAGTTTAGCAAATGGTTTCTAACCTTCCCTTGTAGTTCGACTCCAGGAATCCTTCAGATATATTCCCACATGTAGTAAAAGATCTGTGTCCAAGGAGAGTCATTCAGTACTATTCTAATAGCAGGAAACTGAAAAGAACCTAAATGTCTGTCATTAGGGGCTGGTATTTACATGCCCTGAACCTAAAAACCTAAGTTTTTAACGGAGTGCAGTGGAAAGATATTGGTGATACAGAGTAGGTGTAGACTAGGGTGGGGGCTGGCCCCTGGTGTGCCTACCATCAGGGGATCCGGAAGCACATGGCGTGCCTAACCACACACTGCGTGTCTGCCACTTGGATAAGCCAGCAGTTCTCAGAGTGTGGGCCCTGGAGACACTTTCGGGGGCTGGGGTACTCAAAACTGTTGTTATAAAACTAAGATGCTGTTTGCTTTTTTCATTGTATTCACATTTACACTGGTGGCCAAAGCAGTGGCAGGTGAAACTGTTGGTGTCTCAGCCCAATCGCAGGCTGCAGCCGCGGATGGCCAGCGGTCATGCATTCTTCACTGCCATACAGTTAGAGACAGTTACTGATGGCCTGGCCAGTGTGCTCACTGATTAGAGCGCTGGCCCTCACACCAAAGGATCACGGGTTTGATTCCTAGTCAAGAGAATGTGCCTGGGTTGCAGGGATCCCTGGCCCTGGTCAGGGCTCATGCGATGTTTCTCTCTCTCTCTCTCCCCCCTACTTCCCACCTCCTCCTCCCTTCCACTCTCTAAAAATCAATGGAAAAAATATCCTCAGGTAAGGATTAACAAAAGAAAAAGAAAGTTACTAATTTTATTAAGTCTTAATCATTGAAGAGCCATCTTTTTAATATTCTGAGATTCAAAATGGGAAGTAAGCATAAGTCTCTTCTGCTGCCACCCGAAGTATGGCGGCTGTGCCTGGGCGCGTGCCTGCCTGCTCGCCAGCTGAGCGTCTCTCCCCCTGGAGAAAGGATAACTAACAGACAAGCTGCTCCTTCACTTTTGGGTGTTAGCAGACATTTTTCAAAATGAACCAAGTGAGCCTATTCCTTTTAGGAAAGCAACTGACAGGAGTGATTGCCAGCGCTGCGACATAAACTTTCAAGCAGAAACGGGAACTTTGGGAAACGTATTCATCAAGAACTTGACAGCTCTCCTTTTCTTACAGACTCTCCTGACCAAATGGGTAGTGATACTAACAAATGCAGTGTTTGGTCTTAGAAATGAGATGTGTCAACACTAGGAGTGTGTGTAACTCACCCTCTTCCAAAGGACCAATACATAACACTACACAATTGTGCATGGGTGAAAGACCCATTCCACGGGCAGGGAAAACTGGCTGTATGTAACCAAGTACAGAAAGTGCCTTGATATGATTTCAGATTCCACTTCATAGTTAACCTTTAAGAAACTACCACTTATCAAAAAGGAACCACAGTTATCTGAGGACTTAAAATACGTCTTCCCCTTTCAACTCTGTTTTTGTGTAAGTCAGACTTCATGAAACATGTACTTCAGCCAAAACAATGCATCCGTCAGACTGAATGCAGAAACAGATGTGAAAAGCCAGATATTAAAGAGATTTGTAAAAATTCAAAACAATACCACTCTTATCACTGCTTTTTTAAGTAATATTTTTATTTAAAAATGAAATGGGCTTATTTGTATTCTTACGTGAGTAGATATGTTTAAATTTTTTCAGTTTAATTTCTAATATAGTAAATCTCAATAGGTAAAGCTCACATAACTCTTTGATAAAGCTAACCTCCATTCCTAAGAGCATGAAGACGTCTGACAGCACATGTGAGAACCATCAACATAGGGTATCTTTGGCAGGGAACACGTGGGAAGTGGTGGAGTGTCGGCCTGGTTTTATCCCCGCAGGCAAGGTCTGTGCTCCCTAAGAGAAAGGCAGCACACACAGTCCCTGTGAAAACTTGTCTAGTTTGACTTTTATTTCCAAACCTCTTAATGTTCTTCCATTTCTCTCTGCAGGCGGCTGACTTGGATGGGGAAATTGACTTGTCTACATGTTATGATGTCACGGAGTATCCAGTGCAGAGAAATTATGGCTTTCAGATACATGTGAGCCCAGGGGTGGAGTTTGGAGACAGGCTTGACTGGCTGGGACGTTTCTTCAGAACCTGACCCTAGTCCTGGGCACTTGTGGGCGGGCCTGACGCACATGCCTGGCCAGCAGGCGTTCTTCCTGTCAGTGTTGGCGCCTTGTCCTGCTCTTCCTCAGTCCTGTGGCACCTGACCCCTCCCCCAGTGGGTGATCTCAGCAAACAATTAGGCATTAGCTTCTTTCCAGGCTGTTGAGAAGCTTTGTTACTGAAGTTTCGGGGTTTTTTTATCCTGGAGCTTGGGACATTGGGTGGATATGTAAGGAATAAGAATGAAAGTGTTAACTATTTAAATCTCAGAATACTAGGCTTCAGTTCACCTGTTCTTTCTTTATTCTTCCAGTCATCAGTCATAAATTTGAAAATTCATGAGGTCCCCCACCCCATAACCTTGTAAGGGACTCGGACGAGCAAGTCATTGCCCTTGACCTCAAAAATAACCTGGTTAGATGACTAAGACAGCGCTCATTGGCCATTCCATGAGAGTCGGTGGCTCAGGGCTACCTGGAGTTAGCCGGGCTCAAGTTAGGACGCATACCCTGCCTACCACATTGCCCTCTAATGCCAGCTGCAGGGCGAGGGCGCCTCAGTCATCCTCAGGGTCAGGAATTAGCCAGAGCGCAGGAAAGCACTGGACCGAGGCTGTGGTTTCGCTTTGGGAGAAGGTACCATTAGAGCTGCAAAGGAAGCGACACCTGAGCATCGACATCCACTGTGAGGCTCTCAACATAAGCATCCATGTCCTCGGGGACACATCCCCTCCTGATGTGGCTGTGACACCCAGTGCCTCCTTCCCAGGAAGCCTGAGTTTTTATTGAGGTTTCATAACTGTCATGATGGATTGAGTCACATCCATGTGGTCGAGCACAGCCTCCAGGCCTCCCCTCAGAGGTCAGCTGGTTTCACCTGGCCCCTAGCCCAGCCTCACTGATGGCTGGTCTTTATAGCGTAGCCTGCTCCGCCCTGAATTACAGGCTCCCAGGTTGCTTCCCAGGAGCCAGGGCCACTTGGTGCCAGAGCCCGTGACCGAACAGACAGCCCGACAGCTGCACCGCCAGGCTGGCCCCGGCTCTGTGCCTCACAGGACCTGGAACTTTTACGGGGTCTTACCTTCAGGTGGTTGGGTGTAAACACTCAGTTGTACCATTGGACTCAGAGTGGATCAAGCACGTTGAGACTGAGTCATATTAACCAAACTTAAAAGAGACTGGGGTCAGGACCCAAAGGCCAGTGTGTGCATTATAAGGAGAAATCCCGCCCGCAGCCCACTGGGCCGCTGGTCATGGCATTTCTCCCCTGTGAGTGCCACGGCATAGCTGGGAGTTGCACAGGTGGCCTGGCATGAGGGCCAGGACATGAGGTTGTGGATTTCAGGGTCTTAGCCACCCCATTCTGATGCCCTTCTGCCCCTGTCCCTGCAGGAGGAGCAGACATGCTCAGCGAGCTAAGTCTGAGCTTCTTGTCTTCAGGCGGTGTTGGTGGCAGTGGTGACTTCTGGCTTTCTAGGCGCCATGCTGGGCCCCCCCCTAACCCATCCCTCCCCATCTTAAAGAGCAGGTTTCTCGGGGCAGGGTGGCTTGCCACTTAAGTCAGCTCCCCTCACTGAGCAAGTTACAACTTCATCATCGAGGGCCCGAGCCACGCGGTTTGCTCTCCCGTCAGTCTGGCGCCTTTCCCTTCCCCTGGATGGGAGCTTACCCAGGCTCTGATGCTTTTCCCTGGGCCCGTGGCTGAGGGTCTAGGTCACGAGAGGTCACTTTCAGCATGGAGGGCAGGTCCTGGAGGCTCTCCGCTCGGGTCACTGGGGAGTTTCAGGATCTTGAGAGGTAAGGATGAGGAATGAGTGTGCAGGGCCCCTGGCGCAGCCACCAGAACTAGTGGCACCTACAAGGGAGCTAAGTGCAGAAGCTGGGCAGGGGGCACCGTGGGAGCCCCAGTGCCGGGATAGAAATCAGCCTTGTCCTGCTGTTGTGGAAGGTACTGGAACCATTACCTCGTGTAGGAAGACACAGCCAGCAGGACATGCGAGTGGTTAAAGGAGGGGAAGGTAGAGGCGGGAGACCAAGCAGGCACAGTGGTGGGCAGAAAAGAGAGAAGTGGTTGAGAGGCACTGGAGGAGGTACCCATGGGCTGTGGTTGTGGGCAGGTGAGGAAGGAGGCAGGCGTGAGGTCGGGTGCCCAGAGCATGGCAAGCCTTGTGCAGAAGTTGGGCAGCAGAGGTGACTTCACAAAAGGAGTAGAGCCTCTGGAATTCTGGCTGTGATGGGCTAGTCTCTAAGGACATTAGACAGGCAGCCAGGTGTGGGCCCACGGTTGGGAAAGAGCCGCCCGGGGGTGGGAGATGAGGTCCTGGGGCAGAATGTGGAGATGGCCGAGACCAGCCTGCAGAGACACCAGACCTAGGAGCGGGAGGCGGCAGAGGACCCCAGGACAAGTGTGAGCCGACCCCCGGGACACGCAGGGCCAGGGCCTAGGGAGGCAGCACTCGGATTGCGTGAAGGCCATGGCCCCACCTTCAGAGCACAGCAAGGGGAACCAAAGGAACGAGGAGTTGTGGGTTGTCTCTGACTGGGGGCTGAGCTGGAGGCTGAGGTCAAGTCCAAGCTGTACTTTGCAGCTCTCCAGGCTGGCACGTGGTCTTGAGCTTTGGTCCATGGCCACGCCAGTACCAACCCACACCATCTTGGTGGTTTCATCTTCCCATCAGCTGATTTGCTAACCTCTCGTGGGTTTGTTTCCGAGTAGCCTGTGCAGCTTAAAGAACAGGACCGCACCCCCCTCCTGTGAGACAGGAGCCTGTGGCTGCAGGAGCAGGGCAGTGGGCTCCATGCGCCACCACCTGGGTTCCCATCGTGCCTTCTCTGGAGGGACCTGCCCCAGAGGCACTCCCCCCTCGCTGGCGTGCTGCTTCTCTGCTCCTCTATCTGGCTTCCCTCCCCTGCGGCCTGCACAGCTCCCCACTACAGGAGGGCTCCCCTGTCTTGACTAATGACCCATCAGCTCATCCAGGTCGGGGGCCGAGGGGTTGTCCCAGAAGTGCTCCCTCCCCTCTTCTCTGTCACCTCTGTCACCACCTGAATTCTAATTCCCTGGACACCTGCCCTAACCGCCAGCAGGCCTCCCTGCCTCTTAGTCTGAGAGACACAGCTCCATCATGACCACGCCTCCTGCCCGGCCTCACGCCTGCTGTCCCCGCCTGCCTGCCTGTGCCCGATGAGCCTGGCTGCAGGGCACCAGGCCTGGGCTCTTACTGTGGCCCCTGCCCGGGACGTGCGCCTCTTCCCCATCCGCTTGCCACCCTCCTCACCCTCATGGTCCAGCTCAGCCCCTGTGCGGTGGGCCTCTCCCACTGCTCCCCACGTGCTCACTCTCCCTGCAGCCTGAGAGTTTCTTGAAGAGCAGGCGAGTCCCCCAGTGCCAGACATGCCCGCTGAGTCCCACAGAGGGAGGTCCCGGCGACAGCCATTCCCAGGAAAGCATGATGCTGTTTCCTCTGCTCTCAGGACTCATTTCTCCCAGTGGCTGTGCATGGTGCTCCTAAGATGGCCGCCTGGCCACATCCTCCCTGCAGGACTGACCTCTGAGTGTGGGCGGGCGGACCATGGTCCCTGATACTGCCTTGTCCTTTGTGTAGACGAAGGAGGGCGAGTTCACCCTCTCGGCTATGACGTCGGGAATCCGGCGGAACTGGATCCAGACCATCATGAAGCACGTCCATCCGACCTCTGCCCCAGATGTGACAAGGTAAAGTCTGGGGGAGCCACCTTCCTCAGGGGTTGGCGCTTCCCGGGACCTGAGCTGGAGACCAGTGCGGCCTTCTTCCTTGCCGCCTCTGCCCCACACTGGCTGGCCCTGCTCTCCTCTTTCTGGCTCCTGGTTTTTCTGTGTAGGGTTACCTTTTCCTCCTCTAAGTATTTCTTGCATTAGAGCCACATAAGTATCATCTGTGCCACTGTCAGAACTGAGCTTGGTGGACTAATCCCCTCTGGTGTGGGCCTGGAACTGGCACTGTGCTCCGCTGGGGGAGGGCAGCCCTGGAGGCTGCATTCATAAGACACCACAGCATTTACTCTCTCTCTCTCTCACACACACACACACACACACACACGCACACGCACACGTGCGCGCGCATTGTGTGTGTGTGTGGGGGGGTGGAGGCCTGCAACCAGGAAAAATTCTCTGAAATTCTCGGTGCTGGAGCCTAAGTTGGAAACTGTTCATCCCCATAACACTCTTTGGTTCATGTATCTCCTGATTCACTGTGTGCCTTCCTCCTCCAACCCTGAAGGTTAGAAACTTGCTGGTTTTCATTTTAAAAGAAAAAGGACATGGCTCCAGTGTGTGGAGCTGGCCCTGTGATGCCCCACACTTTGCTGCCCTCGCCTCAGGCTTCAGAGCCTACGCCTGTCTGAGAACCTGTCACTGACACTTCTCAGACAGTTTGAATGACTCCTCAAGTATATTTCTTGCATCGGAGGTCACGTTCTGTGACCCTGGTGCCTGCAGTGTGCCCTCTGGTGGCTGGGGCAGCTATGGCCATGCCAAATTTTTTTTTTTTTAAGCGAAGTCTTTTTTTATATATATATATTATTGATTTTTTACAGAGAGGAAGGGAGAAGGATAGAGAGTTAGAAACATCGATCAGCTGCCTTCTGCACACTCCCTACTGGGGATGTGCCCGCAACGAAGGTACATGCCCTTGACTGGAATCGAACCTGGGACCTTTCAGTCTGCAGGCCAACTCTCTATCCAATGAGCCAAACCAGTTAGGGCCCAAATTTTTTTTTTAAAGACACTGTACCTCTTTGAACCAGAAGAAAGGAAAGGAACCCAAAGTAACTTTTTTCTTTAGTTCTTTCCCATATTTGTTGGTATTGTTTGTTCACTTATTTATTAAACAACAGGATAGTCTGTTGTTCCTGAGTTGGTAAGGCCAGGAGATGGTGAGTGGGACAGGCTGTCGGTGTCCTGTGCTGCGAGCACATGCTGTGTGCAGACCTGCAGGAGGCACTCCGCCCTTGTGGCTGCGCCCATGGCAGCTCTGCAGCTGCCCCAGCTCTCTCCCGCTGAGGAGCAGAGGCCAACACTGACCCCTCGAGGATGCCCAGAGCAAAGCAAGAGAGGCACCTGGCTCCATCTAGCTCCCTCCCCTTGGAGGCTGCTGCGTGGCCTCCAAGGGCCGGTGGCCTCAGGTCAGGGCCTCTCACAGCCACAGGCACTCACCTGCTCACCCTGTCCCAGCCAGCCCTGGTGCTCAACTGGGGCCTGCCCCTATGCCTCAGACTGAGGGTCTGGCTGGGATGTCAGCTTTGGGATCTCAGGCAGGGCCGGGTGGCTCAGTTGGTTGGAGCGTTGTCCTATGCACCAAAAGGGTGCAGGTTTGGTTCCCGGTCAGGGCACATGCCTAGGTTGCTGTTCAATCCCCCATCAGGGTGTGTACGGAAGCAACAGATGGACGTTTCTCTCTCATATCGATGTTCCTCCCCCCTCCTCTCTCTCTAAAATATCAACAAAGACATATCCTCGGGTGAGGATTGAAAAAGAGTGCATCTCCTAGGCTGGCACTGAGAACCTGTCATTGCACGTTTCTCTCCCACACCGGCTCGGCGTCCTGCGGGGCTGGGTGCCCAGGGACCAGGCGTTTTGTCTCTGGCTAGGGTTTACTTTCGCATGAGTGGAGTACTTTGTCCCCCCGATTTGTTTTCAGCCTTTGCGCTTATTTGATGTGGGCTTCTATCGTTTGAGGAAAGTAAGGATTTTCAGTGCTACCAGGCTAAGTCCCAAGGATGTATTAGAAACAGATACAAACGTGAGAGGTGCTGGCGGGTAGGCTCCTGTGTCTGGAGGAGTTGTGGGGCTTCCTGCCTGGGGGCTTCCTCTGTTGGAGAGACTGGCGGTCCTGGCGTGGCTGCTGCTTCCAGAGTTCCACGTCACCCTAACGTCCTGCACGCCTGCTCCCCTCAGCTCAGGGCGTCAGAAGGTCTGTGCTGGAGAACTTTCCTTCCGGGGCGCTTTGGTGTTCAACGGGAAGCTTGCAGGTCCTGCCGCTTCGAAGCACTTTGTTTTTCCCTCGTTAGCTGCCGGGACAGGTGGCCCAGGGGGTGGTGGTGGCCCTTCTCTTCCTGGGAGCCTCTTTCACTGGGTCCTTTCTCTTTGGTCCCATTTACCCTCAGGTGTTCCCTAGAGCCCCCCACTGGCCCTCGCAGGCCCAGGTGGCTTCCTATGTGCTTTTTGCTCCCTGACCCCTGTCCAGGCTGCGGATCTCGGGGTTTCATCCAAAGAGCCTGGAGAGCCGGCCTCAACCTGCTGTGACTGATGCCTCTCCTACCCGGGAGGTTTATTCCTCTTTAGGAATCTTTGCTTTGGGGCAAATTGGGAAAAGGCCTGGACTCGCTGCTGGGCATGCAGAAGTGCCCTTGAGTGGGCCACTGCATGGGGTGGGGAGTTGGTGCACCTGGGACATCTATCTGGTGTGTCCGCAGGTCCTTTCGGGCCTGTCACTGGCTCATCTGTCATACCAGCCACGGGGGTTCCTGAGGCACAGACCTGACCATGTTGCTTCCCTGCTTATAGAAAACGCTTGATCCCTTCAAGGGACACAGCGGGTCTCCTTCCTTCTGTCCCCACTACCCACTGCATGCATGCCACAGGGGCGGCCTCCCTGCGGAAGGGTTTGGACAGCGGCTGTGCCTGGCGCAGCAGGAGGGTTCGCAGCCTTGGCTCTAAGCAGGGCAGTGCTCCGAGCTTCGTCATCCCAGGTGCTCCCCCAGCATCTCCTCAGTTGGGCCTCAAAGTACCCTCCTGCTGGACTCCTCTAGGCTGCTGAGGTGGCTTCTCTCCCATCCCCACTCAGAACTCAGTCTGGGTTCCCTGCGAGGAAATGAGGACTCTGCTTTCTCTGCTCCCCGAGGGAGCTGCCGCAGAGGTGGAAAGGTCATGTGGGGGCGTGGAGCGGGCCTCTGCTGGGGCCCCACGGGAGCCACCCCTGACAGGCTGTTTGCCCCCTGCCCAGCTCCTTGCCGGAGGAGAAAAGCCGCATCAGCTCCTCCTTTGAGACCTGCCCAAGGCCAAGTGAGAAGCCGGAGGTGGAGCCCAGGGAGCCAGACCCTGAGCCGAAGAGGAGCCGAGCTCGCGAGCGCAGGCGGGAGGGGCGCTCCAAGACCTTCGACTGGGCTGAGTTCCGCCCCCTGCAGCAGGCCCTAGCTCAGGAGAGGGCAGGTGCAGGGCTGCCCAGCAGTCTCTCCGAGGCCGGGCCGGGGGAGCTGGAGCGGGAGCGGGCGCGCAGGCGGGAAGAGCGCCGTAAGCGCTTCGGGATGCTCGACACAGTGGACGGGCCAGCCACTGATGACACGTCCTTGCGGATGGAGGTGGATCGGAGCCCGGGGCTACCTGTGGCCCCCGACCTCAAGACACAGAATGTCCATGTGGAGATCGAGCAGCGGTGGCATCAGGTGGAGACCACCCCTCTCCGGGAAGAAAAGCAGGTGCCCATTGCCCCTCTGCACCTGTCCTCTGAGGACAGAAGTGACCGGCTCTCTACTCATGAGCTGACCTCCCTGCTGGAGAAGGAGGTAACGACCAGGGCGGCCACAGGTGGGCGGGTTCCACACAGCGCCCCTTCCTGAGCACCCACCCCTGTGCCCAGCAGCAGCCTGAGTGGTTCAGCTGCATGACCGAGGGAGATGTGGTCTCCCCTCCAGGGCTTGCAGACCGTTCAGGAAGATAGACCCATGGATGGACAGGTTCTTAGAGTCCAGGGTAGTCACCGAGAGGTACAGGGAGTGCAGGCTCATGCAGGGTGGCGGGGGCACCAGCCCTTTCTAGGACAGAGTAGTTTGCCATGTGGCAGGGGCACTGCCATTAGAGTCAGACTGGCCAGAGAAGAGGCTGGTAGGGTTTCAGGGCCCTGTTTCCAGCATGAACTCGAGATCTTCAGGGGAGAGGAACATAAGCAGAGTTAGGTTTGATCTGCACTAGGCGACCCTGGGTGGAGCAGGCCAAAGCTGGAGGCAGAGAAGAGTCCCACTGCTGCCCAGCAGCCTGGTGACTGCCGGGGACCTGAGGAGGTGCAGGCCACCACAGGAGGCAGGTGGGTGCCTGGGTGAGCCGTGCACTCATTCGGCAAGGACTGCACTGTGGAGACTTTGCAGAGCAGGTCCCTCTGGGCACCCAGGTACAGGATGAGTGCCAGCCCTGCATTTGCAGCATAATACGTTTCTTCATGAACATGTGTCCAGAAATCAGATCTGGGGAACTTCTGCAGTGGATTTATAAATCTGAACAGGAAGTTCCTGACCAAGGAGGTACAGCCTTACAGTATCATGTTTCAAATGTGTTCTTTTACAGAAGTAGCTAATTACAGTTACAGATTTGTCACTTTGGCCTACCTTCACTTTCCTTATTTTTCCTAGTCTATTAAATTCACGAGGCTGACGTTTATCACTATCATGAACACTTTGAGTTTATTTCCATTTTCTATGCCTATTAATAGGATAATAAAGGCAAGATGCAATAAATAACAGATCAAACTCAGATTGCTATAAGCTAAAATAGGCCCCACGTGGGACTGTAAGCTTGTTTTAAACAGCAATGTCTGAACGTCAAGGGAGAACGTCAATGCCTCTCACATAGCCCGGCAGCACCCTGCCTGTCTCCCAGCTCCACAGCCTCGGGGGCAGGGCAGGCAGAGTGGCCCACATGGCCCAGCACCCAGTTAGGCTCCTAGGGAATATTTGGGGAAGAAGTGACTGGATGGATGACTGAATTCAAAGCCACTGAAAGCAAGAAGAGTTTGAAGTAGCTTGCTTGCCTTCCACATCTCATGGGACCCTCTTCGCAAACAGGAGGTTATGTAGGGTCCATTGGATAAAAGTGGGACTTGCAGTGGAAGCCAAGGCAGGGGCTGGAGTAGGGCTCGCCCCCCAGGGCAGCCAGCCAGGCTGTGGCCATGCTGAGGAAACAGAAAGGACGAGGGCGGTGCCTCCTAGTGCAGGCACAGAGCCACATTTCCTGCTGGGTCTGCAAATGGGGACCTTGAGCAGGGGTGGATGTTATGTGGGCATTCATGGTGGCCCGTCTGCCGTGTTATGTATGTGTATTTACGGTCTGAGCAGGAGCCTTCAGTTTCAGATGCTGCAGTTTAGGGCAGATCAGCTTATCCCTGACCTATGGGCACGTGGAGGGCCAGGGAGGAGTCCGTGTGCCAGCTCAGCTGTTGTCAGAAATGCCCCCGGGGCCTCTACTGTGCTGCTGATGGTTTGTTACCATCATTTTGCTTTAAAATGTGTGTCTTTTTGTCAACAGTTGGAGCAGAGCCAGAAGGAGGCCTCAGACCTTTTGGAGCAGAACCGGCTCCTTCAGGACCAGCTGAGGGTGGCTCTGGGCCGGGAGCAGAGTGCCCGGGAGGGCTATGTGCTGCAGGTAGGGCTGAGGGGCTGCGGGCGCTCAAGATGCTCTTGGGAACTTGAGTGCAAGGGCCCTGGCAGGCTAGAAATGCGCACACCGGCCTGAGCAGGGCAGCCCTCCCAGTGCCGCCTCGGCTGCTCTGCCACGGGACCGCGGCTCTAGTGCACTGGGCCATGTGTATTTCCCTCCTGGTATTACATTTTGGAGAATCTGCCTGAAACTTCTGTGTCTAAGGTTTTTTCTTTGTTTTTTTAATAAAATAGTTTTGGTGGTTTTTCCTTTGGGCTCTCAAAGTAATCCAGTATATTTGTTATAAATACTATATATTTGCATGTCATTTCTAATAGTTTTTGCAATAGCAGTATTTGGCCTGTTTTGATTACAGATTGAAGAAATTGTGTGACATAGCCACCAAGTGCCTCATTAAGACCAAGTTAGTGGCAGAGCTAGCTCTGGATCACCTGTCCTGCCTTTGTACCACATCTACAGGCAGACCTGGGCTATTACCCCTCGCCCAGTGGACCCATTCCTTTCTTCCTACCTAGACTGAAGTTTCAGGGGGAAACACGGCCACCCAGCCCTGAGCCAGCCCACACCGCCAGGCTAGAAGGGGAGAGGAGGCCCCGAGCTTGGGTCCTAAGCTGAGAGCCCACACCCAGTGTCCAGGACCAGAGGTCTCTGGGCCACAGCCCTGGTCAGCAGGCAGAGTCACAGAGAGCAGCGGGCACTACTGAGGGTGCCTCACTTGGCAGTAGGTAGGTCAGCTGGGCAGGGTGGGCTGGTGTGTGCTCTGTCGAGAGGCCCTGTTCTGGTCTGGGGCACAAAACAACATACTCCCTGCCCCCCGGAGTGATGTGCTGGTGGGGAGAGACGACTGACAAATGAGGACTGGGAAACGCAAAATGGGCAACGGAATGGGCTGTCTGCCAAGGCCAAGGACTGGCTGCAAGCGCAGGCCCTGACACTGACCAGCAGATGCCAGTGTCCCCTCCCCACCACACTAGCCTCTGCTGTGTGGACGTAGACCTTGTCCCCGAGGCCCTTCCAGCTCTCAGTGACTGTGCCAACATTTCCAGATCACCATGCCTTGCCCGCCTCAGTCCCGGTCCTCCAGGGCAGCACGTGAACCTTCTGGGCAGAGCCTGCCTTCCTGCCTCTGTCCGTACTGCCGTGGTTGCATGTTCCCTCTGCCTTCTCTTCCTCTCATTTCTCCTTTCCCTCAGCTTTAGCTGTGGCCCTGGGCGCCCTGTGTGCCCTGCACCCTCCTCCCCAGCCCTTTCAGCTGTACTTATTGCTGTGCCCAGTTCAGACTCTCGGGCACCAGGAGTTGGTGATGGTGGGCGTTCTTCTTTTGTGCACAGCGCACTCAGGGCATTCTGATCATTCATGCAGAACCTCCAGATTTGGAGAGCATCTTTTTAAACCTGGGTCGGGCCCCTATCCTACACAGATTCCCTTTACTTCATCAGGCGGTAAAGATAGTAGCAGCAGGTTGTGCACATTGCTAACCTAAGAACCTACCTCTGTGTCTAACTTGGATGATTGCATGAGCCTGCACCCAAGTCCCTGTCAGTCGGCACTGGGCAGAGCTGGCTTCTGAATACCTTCCCACAAAGTCTCATAGCAGGTTGCTCTTACCCTCCCTTTGTGCTTTGGGAAAGAACAGGGCCTTAGGGATTGAGGGTCAGAAGGAGTTTGCCTGGGATGGGCGCTGCGCTGCTTGTTCTGGGAGGAGGAGCTTGCATGGTTTGGACTTGCTGTGGAGTATAACCAATAACGGAACTGAGTGTCACATCTGTGGCTTCCCCGCCGACTGAAAGGGGCCACAGGCAGGTCAGGTTCTCAGGCTGGGCTGTTCTCACGTCTGTTCATGTTTCCCCTGATTATTAGTCTGTCTGTCCTGCATGCCTTTCTGTTTGGGGAGTTTGTTCCATTTGTGTTCTGTTTTGTTTTGTGCTGCGTCACTTATTTTGACTTCCATGAAGGTGTGTTTTGTTGGTATCATATCTTACTCCATGGGTTTCGCTTCCCCTCGTTTTGTCTTCTTACAGGTAGAGACTTGTTCCTCCTGTCACTGAGGACGAGCTCCACTTCCGAAAGGAAAGTGCTCGGTGTCACCTGCTGCCTCCTTCCTTCTCTCCTGTCCTAGAAGGAAGGGGCCTCTCCCGCACCCTCACCCTGTGCTTTTCCAAGGTTTATTGTCTAGAGCTGTGTACCTTTTGTTTTGTAAAACAAACAGATGCCATGCTCTGCTCCCCCTCCTCCCACCCGTCTCGTCTTCAGTCTCTGTTTTGCTTACCCGTATGTTCCATCATTCAGTTGTGTTTGGTTTGCTTCTCCTAGAAGCCATTCGGTTAGAGTTGTTTTGATGTTGTTATCCATGTTTTCTGTTTACCTGGAAGCAGCACTTATCAAAATAATTAAGATGATTTGTTGGATTGCTTATTTAATGAAAAAAATTGTGCAAAGGATAAAAGGCAAACCCACCAAGGAGCTTTTCTGTGACTGACCCTGGCCAGAGGTGTGACACTCAGAACTAGGAAGCCCGAGTGTTACTAACCAGTGTTTAATCGGTTTTTTTAAGACTGAAGTGGCCACCTCCCCATCTGGTGCCTGGCAGAGGCTCCACAGAGTCAATCAAGATCTACAAAGAGAGCTGGAGGTCCAGTGCCGGCGCCAGGGGCTGACTACACAGCAGACCCAGGCCCTGAAGTGCAGCTACGGGGAGGCTGAGGATGCAGTCCGGCACCATGAGGCCGAAATCCGCAGCCTCCAGGCGAGGCTCAGCACCGCTGCCGCCGAGCTCACCTTCAAGGAACAGGCACTGGCCCAGCTCAAGGGGGACCTGAAACTGGAGAAGGACAAGGCCCGTGAGCACTTGGAGGAGTGGCAGCACAGCAAGGCCATGCTGAGCGGTCAGCTTCAGGCTAGCGAGCAGAAGCTCAAGAGCGCAGAGGCCCTGCTGCTGGAGAAGACGCGGGAGCTGCGGGACCTGGAGACGCAGCAGGCGCTGCAGAGAGACCGGCAGAAGGAGGTGCAAAGGCTGCAGGAGCGCATCGCAGACCTCAGCCAGCAGCTCAGTGCTAGCGAGCAGGCTCAGCGGCTGATGGAGGAGAAGCTGCAGAGGAACTACGAGCTGCTGCTGGAGAGCTGTGAGAAGGAAAAGCAGGCATTGCTGCAGAACCTGAAGGAGGTGGAGGACAAGGCCAGTGCCTACGAGGACCAGCTCCAGGACCATGAGCAGCAGGTGGAGGCCCTCCAGAGGGAAAAGTTAAGCGCCAGGTCTGAGGGCAGCCAGGCGGTGCGCCAGCTGGAGGAGCAGCTGCAGGTGAAGGAGGCCAGCCTCCAGACGCTGGCCCAGCACGTCCAGAGCCTCAGGGATGAGCGGGACCTGGTCCGGCAGCGGTTCCAGGAGCTGACGGAGCGTGTCGCCCTGTCTGATGGGGATGTTGCGGAGCTTCAGCAGAAGCTGCAGGGCAGAGAGGCCGACTACCAGAGCCTGGAGCATGCCTACCAGAGGGTGGCCAGCCAGCTCCAGGGCATGCACACCCTGCTGAGAGAGAGGGAGGAGGAGCTGAGGCACATCAAGGACGTGCATGAGAAAGTTCTGGAAAAGAAAGATCAGGCCCTCAATGAGGCTTTGGTTAAAATGGTTGCCTTGGGGAGCAGCTTAGAGGAAACAGAAATGAAGCTCCAGACAAAGGAAGAGATTTTAAGGAAATTTACCAAGGCATCTTCAGAGGAAGTGGAGGAGCCGCAGAGCTCCCTGGGAGAAGCAGAGGATGGCTTTGCGCTTTCGGGCCTGCAGCTCCCAGCCTCAGGCACATCCCCAGGCTGCCCACACTTGAGGCTTGAGGATGAGGACCCAGGAGCTGCCCTTAAGGAGAAACATGGGCACAGCAGCCCCACGAGAGAAGTGAGCATGATGCCCCCAAAGTCAGAAGTGCCTGAGAAGGAGGGGCACTCGCGGAACACAGCAAAATGTGAGCAGTGTGTACCCGGCATTAATAGGCAAAGAATCCGGTTCTCCACGATCCAGTGCCAGAAATACACCCACCCCGATGGGTCCGAGAAGACCTGGACCAGCAGCACGTCTTCCGACACCAGTCAGGACCGGTCACCCTCCGAGGAGAGCATGTCGTCAGAGGCCACCCTCAGCTCTGTCCCTGCAACCAGCGACTCTGATACCTACCTCTCCATAATACACTCCCTGGAGACCAAGCTCTACATCACAGAAGAGAAGCTCAAAGATGTGACGGTGAAGCTGGAGAGCCAGCAGGGCCAGAGCCAGGAGGCCCTGCTCACACTGCACCACCAGTGGGCTGGCACTGAGGCCCGGCTCCGCGAGCAGCTCCGCGCCAGCCTGCTCCAGGTTGGCACGCTGGCCTCCCAGTTGGAGCAGGAGAAACAGGCCAGGGCGAAGATCATTGAAAATCACGTAGGGAAGCTTGGCAATTTCCAGGTAAAAAACACGCAGGCCCTTGCTTGCTTAGAAAATTGCCGAGAACAGCTACGGTCTCTGCCAAGGTCTGGCCAGGAGGAAGCCCCGGGGGCAGGAGCAGGCCCCCTGGCCAGCGTGGAGAGCGTGCTAGTAAGCGCCATCCAAGCTCTGCGTCACTGGCCAGCCCCTGCAGACAGCGGGTCCCAAACTCCGCTGGAAGAAGAGAGCTTCCTGGAGAGAGGGAAGGAGACTCTGCAGCAGCCATCTCCGCAGCCGGAGCTGACCGAGCAGGAGCAGCTGAAGCTTCTTGCTGATCAAATAGCTCTGGAAGCCTCTCTGATAAACCACATAGCAGACTCTTTAAAAAACACAACGTCAGATATCTCGCACGTTCTCGATGAGGTTTCTCAGTCAGGAAAGTTGCCCCTGGAGTCTGGGAGTGCAGTCTGTCTGGGGGCCCCAGCAGACACCTGGGCTAAGAAGGTGCTGGTGGATGGTGAATTCTGGAGCCAGGTTGAGTCCCTGAGTAAGCACCTGGGGACAGTGGGGGGAGAGGCAGCCAGTGCATCAGGAGGTGGGCAGCAGAGCATCCCACCAGCCCTGGTCCCCACCCTGGCAGACGCCACGTGGGTCAGGGCGGAGCTTAGCTTTGCTGTGCAGTCAGTGAGGGAGTCATTCCAGCGTCGGTTGCAGAGCATTCGGGAGACTCTCCGGGGGACCCAGGCAGCCCTGCGGCAGCATAAGCATGCACTGGAAGAAATCCTGGGAGCATACCGAACCCCTGACTTTGAGAGGGTGATGCAGCAGGTCGCAGAGGCCCTCAAGCTCCCAGCAGGCACTGCAGAAGGTGTCCAGGCTCCCTGGGACTTGAGCCCATTAAGAGAAGAACTGAGTCATCAAGACACAGCTGGCTTCCAGGAGCCCTTCCACTTCTCCGACCAGAACTCTGGGGCCATCGTTGGGATTCAGGAAGAACTCGCCCTGCAGCTTAAAGATAAAGCCCGCCTCTTAGGAGAGATATCTGCCTCTTTAACTTCTCTTCCCCCTGTGGGATCCATAAGAGATTGTCAGAAGCTTCTTCAGGTGTCCCGGAATCTCTCCTGTAACACTTATTTGGGAGGCCTTGGTCAGTATTCTTCATTATTAGTTAAAGATGCAATTATTCAGGCTCAGGTGTGTTATGCAGCCTGCAAAATTCGGCTGGAGTATGAAAAAGAGCTTCAGTGCTACAAGGAGTCCTGGCAGAGCAGGGGGGCCTCCTGCCAGGAGCACGAGCAAGCTGTCGGAGCCCTGAGGGAGGAGTACAAGGAACTTCTCCGGAAGCAGAAGAGTGAGTACCTGGAAGTGATTGCCATCATTCAAAGGGAAAATGCAGAGCTCAAGGCCCAGGTCACCCAGCTAGACCAGCAGCAGAGGTATCTGGAGGAAGTGGAGAGCAAGCACAACGAGAACATGTTTGCCCTGCAAGGGAGGTACGAGGAGGAGATCCGGTGTGTGGTGGAGCAGTTGAACAGAGCCGAGAATACATTGCAGGCTGAGCACAGCCGAGTCCTGAGCCAGCTGGACGCCTCAGTCAGAGACAGGCAGGACATGGAGAGGCACCATGTGGAGCAGATGCAGACCCTGGAGGACAAGTTCCAGCTCAAGGTCAAAGAGCTACAGACCATCCATGAGGAAGAGCTAAGGACCTTGCAGGAGCACTACTCCCAGAACCTACAGTGCCTGCAGGAGACCCTCTGCCACTATCAGGGGCAGCCGCCGGAAGCCTTGCTGGCCAGCAGCCCCCACCAGCCCCCTTCCTCCATCTGGCCAGCTGGCCAGCCCAGGGATGGTCTGCAAGTAGCCACTGGGGAGGCCGACTCCATGGTGGGGCTGAGGGAGCGCATCCAGGAGCTGGAGGCTCAGATGGACATCATGCGGGAGGAGCTGGAGCACAAGGACCTGGAGGGTGACACGGCCACGCTGCGAGAGAAGTACCAGAAAGACTTTGAGAACCTTAAGGTTTCGAAGCATCGTTTAATTTGCAAAGCAGTCGAGGGGCAGGCACTCTCCTGCTAGTTGAGAGTCAGTGTGGGATTCTCGGGGTGGAGCTGGGAGACAGTTCTTGGCCCTGAGTTCCTGTATAAGCAGAATTTATTCAACATTTTGTTCCTTCCTCAACTCCTTGCTCACGATGGCGTGGCCTCAGAGCAGGGCCTTGGTTAGGGTCTAGCATCCTGTTCCACATCCCCCACCAGGAAAGAGGACTAGCGGAACAGGATCACTGGCGAGAGGGAGTAGTCTCCCATGCCTTCCCGCCTGCTTCTCACAGCCCCTCACCGCCTCGCCTGCTTCCCACCCCAACAGCCCACCTGTGGCTGGTGCAAACTACACTGAAGAAAAGCCTGGGATAGATGGGCCAGAGGCACGCTTGGAGGGATGTCTCTTAACTGTTGTAGGAGAGCAGAGTTTGGGGAGCCTGAAAGATAGGAATATTGACAAGACAGTGCCGAGACTCACGCTCCCATCCCAACTCTGTAGGGAACTGGTGTTTAGTGGGCACCTAGGTAAGGACTAGGGAGCACAGCTTTCAGCGCTGGTACTTCTCAGGAGCTTTGAGAAAGAACCTTTTCTTGTCACTGTCTCCCACACTCCTAACCTGTTTCTCATTATGCAGAATACCCAGGCCCTGGCACTCAAAGGTGACAATTCCAGGCCCACAGGCATTAGATTCTGTGAAGCGGTCCAGCTTCTCGCCCATCCCCTTCATAACCAGAGGCACCTGTGTGCATGCATGTGGCTGCCAGCATATCCCCTAAGCTTCTCGGCGTTATCCTCTTGGGCTGCTTGCCATCCCTTGGAGCTACACCCCACAAATGCCTACGTCCCTCACAAGCCCTTAGTCTTGGCAGGCCCGGGGTGAGGTGACACTCCCTTCCTTGCAGCACAGAGCTGGCTCCGGGCTGCAAATGCTGCTGAGCAAGCTGCCACGGCTGTGCTCCCAGCAGCGCACTCCTCCAGGTCCGGCAGGAAAGCGTAAGTGTGCTCTGTGTTGGCAGCACATTCTTACCTCTGTGACAGCACAGCCACTCCCAGCAAGCCTGTGTGGTGGCCAGCAAGCACGCAGGCCAAGAGGCCGCCTTCGCTGTGCTTGTGCTGAGTCAGTCAAACATTTGGAAACCATCGTGAATCACGGGAGAGCTTCCAGGGCTCTTTCCCGGAAGTGCCCTGTGGCAGTCTGTGCCTGTGATCGCAGTGCTCAGGTGGGGCTTTCAGAGTAATTTGCACCAGCACTGTCCTAGTGCCTTCCCTACTCACGGGGCCCCGCAGCTTTTCACAGCACCCAGCAGGTCTGTGAGCAGGTGCCTGGGCGCATACACAGCTCAGGGTCACAGGAGCCACAGTGAACTGCTTCCTGTCAGCTCCACCAAAGCCTCCTGCACGGTGAGGCTATCCAGCTCCCACGGTAGTCAGCTGGGCGTAGATAAGGCTTTGGCCAAAGTGGTGACATCGTACCACCAGTTAGCAAGCCATCAGAAGGGTAACACTGCCTTGTGTGGACAACTGGCCATAGATGGTGCTGGGGCTCAGTGTCCCCTTGGCGTGACATAGCTCCATGGTATTCTCATTGACAACCTTGAGACACACAGAAATTACAACCAAATAGCACTCTCCTGGGGACCCGGCTAATGCTACTACTTTGTGCAGATTTTTGCCCGGGTTGAGGAGATTGGGATCTGTGCCTGATGGCCACTCTACTATAGCCATAGGCTGTTGCCTTCCCTCATGATTCTGCACAGTAGTCATTGATCCCAGAGATTATTGGCTTAAAAATTAAAATGTTTATTGATTTTTTTTTTTTTTACCAACACATGCTCTCCAGGGAAGCAGCCAATCTTTAAAGACACCTCAGAGTTTCTGTAGGAAGAATTTTGACCATAATTTAGCTACTAGAGGCCCGGTGCACGATCGGGGCTGGAAGGGACTTGGGAGGTTGGCCAGCTGGAGAGGGACCGCAGGAGGGTTCTAGGGCATGTCCAGCCTGACTTGCTCAGTCCTGATTGGCCAGACCCCAACAGCAAGCTAACCTACCGGTCAGAGTGTCTGCCCCCTGGTGGTCAGTGCACATCATAGCGAACTTTGAGTGGCCTTAGCATATCATTAGCATATTACACTTTGATTGGTTGAATGGTTGACCGGACACTTAGCATATTAGGCTTTTATTATATAGGATTCTAAAGCACTCAAATCAAACTAATACTTATGAGATCTACTGGCTCTGTGTTAACTGAGAAGCCATATGTGAACCAAAGCACCCGGGAGAGAGAAGACGATGGGTTCCGAGCACACAAGGGTCCGAGCCACAGCTCGAGGGTTCCTCCAGCGTCCTTTGGTGTGAGGTGGTGGAAGGAGACCACCGGCTGCCAGAAGGAGACTCTGGGGAAAGTAATGCCCAGTTAATGGTGAACACAGTTAAAACCATATCCCCTTTGCAGCAAATCTGCTGCAGTGAAATCCAAACTCTGATCATGAGTTTAGAAAAACTGAACTGAGGCCCTCAGGAAAGCCTCACAGTTACTGTGGGGGCTCAGACACCTGGGTGGGTTTGTTTTTTGTTTTTTCTTAAATCCATGTATCTTCTTGGGAAGATAGCGCCTCCACTTGCATTTGGAATGGTCATAGCCACATTCTTCCACTTTTTAAAAATCTCTGGAAGGCCTGATCCCTATTCAGAAACAGATTTTGCAAGGGATTTAGACAGAAAGTGTGACTCCGTGCACAAAACAGCTACACAGACCTCCTTACATCTGTGGGGCACGCTCACCTGCCCTGTTAAGAACAACTGATAAGCCAGGCCTGGACTTCCTGGTGTAGCGTGTGGGATGGTTGGATCCCTTCTTAGGGATCCTGTGTCCTTCCCCTGCACTCCTGTGTGCCCATGTAATAAACTGCCCCAGCCTGTAACAGGTGTAGACAAGTTGGAGAGCAGTTTTTCTGTTATGTGTCCCAGTGTAGTTAGTGGAGTCACTAATTACTGCCCCTCTGTACTCCTTCAAAGGAAATAGAAGGAAGACAGGCTGGAAGGGAAGAGAGCATGTAGCCTAATGTAACCCCTCGTGGACACTGCAGAGGTGTGACCAGGTGAGGGTGGCTAGCTCGTCAGTGCAGGGCCAGCCCCATGGAGCCCTCAGCTCACAAAGTCATGACTATGACTTATTTGTGAAATGCCCAGTTTGTGACTGACACAGTGCTACTCACTGTATGAACTCAAATCAGACACGGCCAGCCTCTGCAAATTCATTCTCCTCTCTCCCTCTTGTCAGTCCAACCTGGCAGTAATTCTATCAGGGCCCAGAATTCCACTGCAGCCTCTTCCCACCCACAATACCAACTCATTCCACAGGATTCAGAACAGTCATAGAAATAAGACAATTTATAGATGTAAACACCCTTTTCTAAGTGCTCTGATAGCATCAGTGAGAGTCTCCAGACAGCTGTCAGGTGGCCCCGCTGGCTCAGTGCTCGCCTTCAGAGAGCGTATTCCTCTAGAACAGGAAGCCTGAGAGCAGGCAGGCTGCCGGCTTATCAAACAGGACCCCCGACTTAGAGGTGGTGAAACAAATTGATCGAGCTCCTTTGCATCTTGCAGGCCACCTGCGAACGAGGGTTTGCAGCAATGGAAGAAACGCACCAGAAGAAAATCGAAGATCTCCAGAGGCAGCACCAGCGAGAGCTGGAGAAGCTTCGAGAGGAAAAAGACCGCCTCCTGGCTGAGGAGACTGCAGCCACCATCTCAGGTGGGAGCTGGCAGGTGGTGGGTTAGCCGGAGGGCAGGACAGGTGGAAGACTCCCGGAGCTGGCGGCACAGCGCAGTTAGGACTGCTCTTCGTGCTGTCATTGGGTTAAGATTTAAGCTTCCTGATCCAAAGATATTTTATTTTATTTTTCAATTGCAGTTTACATTCCATATTAGTTTGTGTTCATTTCAGCTGTGTAGCATAGTGGTTAGACAGTCACTTTACAACGTGTTCCCCCCAATACTTCCAGTCCCCACCTGGCACCACACGTAGTAATTACAATATTATTATTTTTTTAAAATATATTTTATTGATTCCTTACAGAGAGGAAGGGAGAGGGATAGAGAGTTAGAAACATCGATGAGAAAGAAACATCGACCAGCTGCCTCCTGCACACTCCCCACTGGGGATGTGCCCCCAACCAAGGTACATGCCCTTGACCGGAATTGAAACTGGGACCCTTCAGTCCGCAGGCCGGCACTCTATCCACTGAGCCAAACCGACCAGGGCTGTAATTACAATATTATTGACTATATTCCGTATGCTATACCTTACATCCCCATGATTATTTTGTAACTACCAATTAGTACTTCTTAATCCCTTCACCTTTTTCACCTTGTCCCCGAACCCCCTCCCATCTGGCAACCATCAGTCTGTTCTCTATATGTATAAGCGTGTTTCTGTTTTGTTGTTCACTTAGATTCCACATATAAGTGAAATCATGGTATTTCTCTTTCTCTGACTGACTTAGTTCACTTAGCATAATACCCTCTAAGTCCATCCATGCTGTCTCAGATAGTAAGATTTCATTCTTTTTTATGACCGCGTAATGTTCCATTGTGTGTGTGTATGAATGTGTGTGTGTATGTATGTGTATGTGTGTGTGTGTGTGTGTGTGTGTGTGTGTGTATCTCCCAGCTTTTTAGCCAGTCATCTGTTGGTGGGCACTTGGGTTGCTTCCATATCTTAGCTATTATAAATAATGCTGCAATGAGCATAGCAGTGCATAAACTCTTTTGATTTGGTGCTTTGGGTTTCTTCAGATACATACCCAGAAGTAGAATCATTGGGTTATAAGGAAGTGCCATTTTTAATTTTTTGAGGACCCTCCGTACTGTTTTTCATAGTGACTGCACCAGTCTACATTCCCACCAACAAGACACAAGGGTTTCCTTTTCTCCACATACTTGCCAACACTTGTTGTTTGTTGATTTACTGATGGTAGCCATTCTGACAAGTGTGAGGTGATATCTCATTGTGGTTTTAATTTGCATTTCTCTGTTGATTAGTGACTTTGAGCATGTTTTCATATATCTATTGGCCATCTGTATGTCCTCTTTGGAGAATTGTCTATTCAGGTCCTCTGACCATCTATTAATTGGATTGTTTGGTTTGGGGTGTTGAGTAGTATGAGTTCTTTATAAAATTTTGGATGTTAACCCTTTATATCATTGGCAAATATCTTCTCTTCAGTAGGTTGTCATTGCATTTTGTTGATGGTTTACTTTGCTGTGCCAAAACTTTAGTTTGATGTGGTCACATTTGTTTATTTTTCTTTTGTTTTTCTAGCCCAAGGAGATATATCAGAAAAAAATGATAAGAGGAATATCTGACATTTTACTGCCTGAAATATTACAGAATTGTAAAAATTTTGAATATTAACCCCTTATTAGATATGTCTTGGTAAATATCTTCTCCCATTCAGGAGGTTGTCTTTGTTTTTTTGTTTGTTTGTTTTTTTAATTAAATCTTTATTGTTCAGATTATTACATTGGTTCCTCTTTTTTCCCACCATAACTCCCCTCTACCCAGTTCCCACCCCACCCTCCGACCTCACTCCCCACCCACTGTCCTCATCCATAGGTGCACGATTATTGTCCAATATCTTCCCGCACCCCCCACACCCCTTTCCCCCCCCAAGAATAGTCAGTCCATTCCCTTTCTATGTCCCTGATTCATTATAATCACCAGTTCATTCTGTACATCAGATTATTTATTCACTTGATTCTTAGATTCACTTGTTGATAGATGTGTATTTGTTGTTCATAATTTGTATCTTTACCTTTTTCTTCTTCCTCTTCTTAAAGGATACCTTTCAGCATTTCATATAATACTGGTTTGGTGGTGATGAACTCCTTTAGCTTTTTCTTATCTGTGAAGCTCTTTATCTGACCTTCACTTCTGAATGATAGCGTTGCTGGATAAAGTAATCTTGGTTGTAGGTTCTTGGTATTCATCACTTTGAATATTTCTTGCCACTCCCTTCTGGCCTGCAAAGTTTCTGTTGAGAAATCAGCTGACAGTCATATGGGTACTCCCTTGTAGGTAACTGACTTTCTTTCTCTTGCTGCTTTTAGGATACTCTCTTTGTCTTTTGCTCTTGGCATTTTAATTATGATGTGTCTTGGTGTGGTCCTCTTTGGAATCCTTTTGTTTGGGGTTCTCTGCGCTTCCTGGACTTGTAAGTCTATTTCTTTCACCAGGTAGGGGAAGTTTTCTGTCATTATTTCTTCAAATAGGTTTTCAATATCTTGCCCTCTCTCTTCTTCTGGTACCCCTATAATTCGGATGTTGGTACGCTTGAAGCTGTCCCAGAGGCTCCTTACACTATCTTCGTATTTTTGGATTCTTTTTTCATTTTGCTTTTCCGGTTTGGTGTTTTTTGCTTTTTCGTATTTCAAGTCTTTGACTTGATTCTTGCGATCCTCTGGTCTGCTGTTGGGAGTCTGTATAATATTCTTTATTTCAGTCAGTGTATGCTTAATTTCTAGTTGGTCCTTTATCACAACATCGAGGGTCTCACTAGATTTCTTGAGGATCTCACTACATTTATCGGCGGTCTCACCAGTCTTCTTGAAGATCTCACTACATTTATCGGCGGTCTCACCAGTCTTTTCGAGGATCTTACTAAATTTATCGGCGGCTTCTAGACAGTTCTTTAAAGACCTTAAAAGTGTGGTTTTGAACTCTATATCCAGCAGTTTGCTTTCCTCCATTTCTGTCATTTGTGTCCTGTTTCTTTGTCTCGACATTTTTTATGCTTTGCTGTGTCGCTAGAGTGCCTTTCTGTGCTAAGTGTCCCAATTACCTGAGGTAGACACTCTTGGTGCACCCCCTTGTGGGCTTTGTGCACAGTCTTGTTGTAGTTAAGCCTTGATTGTTGTAGTTATCACTGTGAGGAATTGACCTCCAGGCCAATTGGCTGTGAGAATCAGCTGTGTCTGCAGTGGGAGAACTTCTGTGCTGGAGACACCCCTCTGGGGCAAGACTTGCTTCAATGGGGCTTTGGTGCTCACTGAGTCTGCCCCCTGAGTGTGTCTTTTATGTTTCCACGAAGCTGCAAACTGGATGGTCCCACTCTTCCTCTGGGTTTCCTGGCTCCTGGATCTCTAGGGAGGTGGTAATCTAGCCTTTGCCTGAGGCTATCCAGCAAAAGCCTCCCTGCAGGGCTTGGGCGGGGCAGGTCCCATGGGATCAACAGGGTGGGGCTAGCAGTTATGGCTGCTCTCAGTCTTGCCCTCAGAGGCTCTGCTTCTCAGTGTCCCGGTAATCGCTGCAAGCCCCTCAGAGAGAAAGCTGCCCTCGGGTTCCGACCGATGCCAGACAGTCCCGCTTCTCCCGTATGAGTCTGGGTCCCTAGAGACTCGCCCGGAACTGGAGCTCAGAGCCTGAGACTCCCTCCCGATTGAAAACGACAACCGCTCCCTCAGCCGCCAGCCCGCTCCGCATGCACCTCCGCACCTTAGTATTTTACTTCCGTACTGCTCCTCCTCTGAGTCTCGGTATGCTTTTCTCTTTCCTTCTAGTTGTAGAATTTCCACTCAGCCAGACTTCCTGTGGTTCTGGATGATGTCCGTTCCGTCTTTTAGTTGTATTTTTGAAGTGGTTGTTCGAGGCAGCAAACTCCGGTGTTTACCTATGCCGCCATCTTGGTTTTCTCGGTTGTCTTTGTTTTTTAAAAAATATTTTATTTATCTATCTATCTATCTAACCTCATCTGAGGATATGCTTATCGATTGAGAGAGAGAGAGAGAAACATCAATTGGTTGCCTTCCATACATGCTCTGAAAAAAGATCAAACACACAGCCTTTTGGTATACAGATGATGCTCCACACAAGCCAGGGCAGTGTTTTTTAATTGTATTTAATTTTTATTATTAAATCGTTATTGTTGACACAGCCTTTTGGTATACAGATGATGCTCCACACAAGCCAGGGCAGTGTTTTTTAATTGTATTTAATTTTTATTATTAAATCGTTATTGTTGAAGTATTATGTATGTCTCCCTTTTCCCCCATTGATTAATTACCTCCCACCCACCCTACTCCCCCACCTTCCCTCCAAGATTCAGCACTCTGTTCCATGCTTCCATGTCTCTGGATCTATTCTGTTTATCAGTTTATTTTGTTAATTAGATTCCACATATGAGTGAGATCATGTGATACTTGTCTATCTCTGACTGACTTATTTCACTTAGCATGATACCCTCCAGGTCCCTCCATGCTGTCTCAAAGGGTAAGAGATTCTTTTTTACTGCTGCATAGTATCCCATGGTGTAAATGTACCACAGCTGTTTTATCCACTCACCTACTGATGGGCACTTGGCTGATTCCAGATCTTAGCTATTGTAAATTGTGCTGCTATGAACACAGGGGTGCACACATTCTTTCTGATTGGTGTTTTGGGTCTCTTAGGATGTGTTCCTAAAAGTGGGATCACTGAGTCAAATGGCAGTTCCATATTTAATTTTTTGAGGGAACTCCATACTGTTTTCCATAATGGCTGCATCAGTCTGTATTCCTACCAGCTGTGCACTAGGGTTCCCTTTCTCCACATCCTTGCCAGCACTTGTCATTTGTGGATTTGTTGATGGTAGCCATTCTGAGAGGTGTGAGGTGATGCCTCATTGTTGTCTTAATTTGCATCTCTCTGATTATCAGTGACTTTGAACATTTTTTCATATGTCTCTTGGACATCTGTATGTTCACTTTGGAGATTTT